GCGTGCGCGTGCGCGTGCGCGTGCGCTGTGCGTGTGCGTGTGCGTGTGCGTGTGCGTGTGCGTGTGCGTGTGCGTGTGCGTGTGCGTGCGTGTGCGTGTGCGTGTGCGTGTGCGTGTGCGTGTGCGTGTGCGTGTGCGTGTGCGTGTGCGTGTGCGGGTGCGTGTGCGTGTGCGTGTGCGTGTGCGTGTGCGTGTGCGTGTGCGGGTGCGGGTGCGGGTGCGGGTGCGGGTGCGGGTGCGGGTGCGGGTGCGGGTGCGGGTGCGGGTGCGTGTGCGTGTGCGTGTGCGTGTGCGTGTGCGTGTGTGTGTGTGTGTGTGTGTGTGTGTGTGTGTGTGCGCGTGTGCGTCTGCGTGTGTGTATGTGTATGTTTATTTTGAGAGCTAACCATGTGACGTTCGGTCAATTAGGTTGGAAGTACATCCCCCGCTTTATACGCATACTATGCCGTGCTCGCGCACTTGAAGAAGCAGTTGGGGAGGACCCCAGTGGGAATGGACCTTGATTGCCCAGTCCCCGCCATTTTCTCTTGGTTTGTTGGGAGTGGGATAGGCGCTCTTTCCCTTTCCATCAGACCAATTTCCCTTGGTTCAAAAGTTGCCTGTGAGCATGAGCTTCCTTTGAGTGAGATCTGAGATCTCTTCTGACCAAATTTCTATTTAAGGTTCACCAATATGGTTGCCAGAATCAATGATATTTTTGGTTGCAGGGGCAGCTGAGGTATGCTGAGGTAGATATATCTTTCGAGTTGGGCATTGGACATCTGAGCACTGGAGGCCAGATAACCTGCGCCTGGTGTCGGAGCTGGCGCGCCTCTTCTACTGGATCTGCCGGAAATCCAAGGCGCCCTCAGTGCGAAGTGGGGGCAGTCGGAAGCGGCTTAAAAGCGTCCTGTGCCTTTAAAGGGGTCCATATGGGTCCATGGTTTTCCCGGTGGCCTTGGGGGAGACTGTCCTTTTTAGCGGCTTACACTGGTTTCAGCTTTTCTTTATCCATGTTTCTAAAAGGACACCTTCGGTGGCAGCTTCCCTTCGAGTGAGGAGGGCCGTGCTTGCCCACGAAAGGGCTTCACAAAGGAAAGGCGCATGACGAGATTGCCCAAGTTCTAGGGCCTTTTCGGCCATAGGCGGAGGCGTGTAGCGCAAAGAGAACCCAGTTGATGAATCAAGCCCTTGGTTGACAGGGGTGATCCTCTTGGAAACATTCCATGAGTCCACCAGTTTGATCACACCGGGGTGCCACAAAACCAGACATTGCCAGCCATAGTCATTTCATGTTGCTCTAAAACCAACTTGAAAACGTCCAGAAACCTCCCGTGGGCACATGGGTTATCTTCCATCTTCCAAGACATCGGGGGGTTTGGACATCTAGGCCGATCTGCTCGACAGGACCTTTGGGCAACCCTCCTGCAGACAGCGCCTGGCGGCAACACCGACGGCCAGGGCCCTGGCAAGCGAGCACCCCCTCCCAGGCACAGGGCTCCCATGTGCCCCTTTTCGGGGAGTAGGGTCTGAGTAGGGTCCCTTTTTGTCTTCTTTTCTTTTGAGGGGAGGTAGACGTGCAGTTGGACAGCGGCTCAGGCGAGAACGGAAATTCTGGTGGCGTCTGCAAAAGTTGTTGTTGCCCGGTCGAAGGCCTTCAAAGGCCTGCAAATCCCCGAGCCTCGAGCTGCTTTAATTGAGCACAGCTGTTTTGCCCTTTGGTTTTTGGGTTTCCTCCATGTTCCCGTGTCACCAGCGAGAAGTTGGCCGTTTGGCCGAGCTTACATGACACGTGGCGACATGGCCAGATCAGCTTCTGCCAGATTCGGACGGCGGTGGGGGAAGGCGTAAGGTTCATGAAGGAACGGGAACAGGGCAAAACAGGTTGAACGCACTTTAAGAACGAACACAAGAGCAAGAGTGTGCGCCTTCAGCTTACACCCAAAGAGGCCCGAGTGCGAGACTCGATGCGTCCAGACATCTTTACATTGCCCCTTATTTGGAGGGGGTCTTCTTGGTTTTCCCTCAATTGGTGCATTGTTTGGGTAAAAAAGATAATGCCCCATGCCTGAGGAAAGGTTTGAGCAGGGTTCCTTCAAAGAATTGGCTGGATTGAGATCAGATGTCCGAAGCATGTGATCGCTGTGTTTTCCAGCATAGGGCTCCGCTTCTGGATGATGTTTGTTTTAGCTCTTAAGACACCCTCCAAAAGCGGAACATTTTAAGAGAAACAACGAGGATGCTGTTGGCTTCTCCGGGAGTGTAGATCAGGACACACTGGTGATGTTTGGAATGCCCAAATGAAAGTTAGACGTGGAGGATGCTTGGAACACCTCAGGGTTGGTTTTTGACCATCTCCCTTTTGAGGGTTGAAGTGCGAACCCCTGAACCTTAGACAACAAGTTTGCCCCCCCCCCCCCCCCGGGATATACGAGTCAACTTTGGGCGTTTGACCTTCAATCATTAACCAAGAGTAACACTTCCCGGAATCGTAGACACCCTCGTTTAGGGTTCAGCGTGCGAATGGTCAAAGGGCAACCTTGTACCTTGGCGGTATCCAGTACCCTTAGACTTTTAGACACTCTGTGAGTAGATGGAGTTGTGACATCTCCCGCAAAAGTCTGACTTTTCGCAAGGGGTCAAAGAACTGCAAAGGTAACACATGATGTTCCGAAGGCCTCCCCAACATACCGCGTGTCCACACCGACAAGCCTGCCTCTTTGGGGCGGGCTCCCAAAGTCGTAGGCCCAACTCGCCATGAGATTCATCAGACCTGCAATCTTTGGAACCAGTCTAGACGAGGGTTTGTCGCCAGCGAGATTTCTTGGGGGTTTATGCCCTTGGACATACTCCACTCACTCGCTCAAGCGCGCTTGTTCAGCCCAGGACATGTGAGTGCCAAGGTTGCTCATGACTCATTGGCTATGTTAGAAACCGGTCTTCCTGCCTGGTTGCGAGTAGCAGTAATTGCCGCTTATAGATAAACCTTTACAGCCATATGGGCACCACCGGCTCCAGAAACTGCCCTCCCTTGATACCGGTCAAGGGAAGACAAAGCACGCCAAGCAGTTTTGTTTGGTCCGTGCCCGAGTTTGTTTAAACAACTCCCAAACCACACAGTCCAACGACATACAAGAGCACAAGAACACAGAACACCACCTTTAAATTTGTTTTGAGCCTTCACCACACGCACACAGACACAAAAAACCAATCCGCAGATGCCACATGTTCCCCACCCGCCCGTTCCCTGAGGCCTGGACTCGCTGCTCTTCGCGCTGGTGGAGACCTGGAAGCGGGCGGTGGACCTGCCGCCGGCCCCAGCGGGCGGCCGCTTTTCTTTTTGCTCGGCAGTGGTCAAGGCTGAAACAAAACGGGCACCCGTTTTCTCCGGCTTTTTGTTTGGGGGGGGGTTCTGACCTGGTTGGGGTCCCACAGATTGGTCTTTATTTGGGGGGGTCCATCCAATGAGGTGTCTCCCTTCCACCTATTTATTGGGTACCGAAATTGGAGACATGCCCATGTAGTAAGAAAAAATTGCGAAACGAAGCCTTGGGGATCCCTAATCTTAGGAAGGCAGGGGTCCCTATGCCTCCTTTGGTGGCCCGTCCCCCCTGCTGAGATCCAGCAAGTGTTGGCCCATTCAAGGCGAGATTCCCTTGGTGGGGGTGATGTTTTGGGGATGAACATATAGGGAACCTCTGTTTTCGGAGAGTCGCGGATCCTAAGTGTCCGCCTGAGCTGGGCGCCGCCCAGCTCAGGCGCCCCACCGCCCAGCTCAAAGCGTTCTTCACCCTCCCTCCGCTGCTCTCAGGCACCGGCGACTGCAGAAAGGCTCAGCGCAAGGCCGGGCTGCAAATGCTGGCGCAAAAATGGCCCATGGTCAACTCTGGGGCCGCCAAACATATTTTGTATTTCAGGATGGACCAACTATGAAACTGAATCCGGCAGTGTTATATTTGTATACCCCAGGTGTGGGCCAACAATGGGATGATGTTCAGTCCACCAGGTCGTAAGCAGGCACCCTTTGGTGGACATCTTCCTTCACTGCTTTATGCAGGCAAGCGTCCAGTTCTCAGGCGTTCCAATCAAGAGCCTCATAGGCAATATGTCAAACTGGCCTCTTTTTGGTCGTATCCGGACTTTGACTCAACTCGCTCGGCATGGCTTCCATTTGGTGCAAATAGAACAACCGATTTGCGTCAACATAAATTCCCTTCAGATTTGTGCAGCAGGCACATCTACTTGGGGGGACAGGTTGCACATCTGCTTTTTTCGCTGTCATCACCGATCCCTACACATGGCTTCCCTTGCAAATTCTCGTCTCACTGAGACTTGTCACAGGAGCTGATTAACACAAGCGACACATGTATCCACAAGAGAGTTTCTTGTCCCAAACTACGCCCCCCCGAAGCAAATGTAACCACCACAAACGGAAGCACAGAGTGTTTCAATCATTGTCCTCATCGGGTGCGAGGTTGGCCCTTAAACAACCAATTATCAGTCCGAGGGATTGGAACAAGACCACTTCAATGAATCACTCCGCCCATGTCGATGTGAATGGCAGAAACATAACTGAGTGCCTCAAGAACAAACAGTTCTATGACTGCCTACCCTTAAGACTGCCTCGGTTTCTGCGTGCATGAAACCGGGGATCACTCCGCCATTTGCTTAAGATGGTTTCATGTTCTTGCAGTTGCATTTTCAACTGCAATAGTCATGACTGGCCAAGCCTAAACCCCTAAACCCCTAAACCCCTAAACCCCAAAACCCCAAAACCCCCAACCCACACACACACACACACAACACACCCAGGAATACCAGTGGATTAAATTCAGCACCAGCTAGGGGGTCCTTCCACACACTTCTCCCAGGCCTGGAGGACTTCCTGGTGGACGATATGGACCCTTGGCCACGTGTTCGTTTCTATTCATGTATCAACTAATGTATTAGTTGTTTGTCTGTGTTGTGTCCTTTCGCATTGTTTTGTTTTGTGATGTGTGGTGATATTTTGCGTTGTTTGTGTGCTTGTTTGTTTGATTGATGGATTTTGTTTTGATTGTTTTGTTTTATTTAGTTATGCGTATATGTAGTATATGTGCATACACGACATATGGTCTGAATGTGGCATGTGTATGATTGCAAAACATCAGAAGTGTTGCCTCATCAGCCAGCCAACCTACCTTTAGATCTGCTGTTCGTTCTGGACATAGACATGGTGACACCCTTTGCAGTCAGCACACAGAAAACGGCATCATCTCGAAGCATGCTGAAGGTGACCTTTTTTGTTCGTGTAAAGTCAGCGGACCCCACGCAGTGTGCAGACGAACACAGAGACACGTGACGAGCAAATACTAGACATGCGAGATTATTTTTCGGTAGACATACGCTGGGCTCACGTGTCGGACTAGGCCAGACAGACAGACAGACAGAGACAGAGACAGAGACAGAGACAGAGACAGAGACAGAGACAGAGAGACAGACAGAGACAGACAGACAATTGGACAGATAGTTGGATGCATACTCCTCGCATGCAGGCAAGTTTCTGGCGGGATGAGACCACTTGGGCTGTGGGTTGCAGCCTGGATCTACAGAGCCTTGTGTGTCAAAGCTAGCAACGTATGTCTCAAAGTTCGGGGACCCCTGAAAGCTTGGGTTGCCTCTGGTTTTCCCCGAAGAGACGCGGCCCGGGCCGAGGACCGGGATGCGGTCATTGAGCCCGGCGCCAAGATCCATCGAAGCGAAGCCGTTGCGCGCGAGCCAAAAGAACATCATCGGCATCCGGGGCCCTTTCTTCAGCCCTCACGTCATGGACCCGGTTTGTCCAACAATCATTCCACATGCGGGCTGCAGGGGCATGTGGCAGTCCAGGAAGGTGTCAGAGGCAAAGTGTCGCAGTCTTCGCTGTCTTCCAACATGATTCCATGATGTTCGGTGGCAAGATAGATGCATTACTTTCCACCATTGGGTGGCTTTTGCTCAATGTTGCCGAAAGAAACAGGTAGACAGGTTGCGACACTTGACACTCTCCAGCCCCACGTTTCGGCTGCCGCCCTGGGACGTTGTGGAGGCGGCTCTTGGGCATTCCACGTTGCGCCTGAGATCGTCAGGGTCTGCTTGCGAGGCTCCCTGAAGGGCAGCTTTTGCCAAGTAACGTGCAAGATCGGCCAGTGTCCCCTCAATACTTTTTGGCTTCTGAAGCCTGTTCAGGGCTGGGGGGTGGTCCGCAATTTTGCCTGAGGCAGAGGTTGTTTGAATCGGAAGGCCTGGTGGGTGGGTGGGTGTTTTTGAAAAACCTCTGAAATGAGATGTTTGGTTTCCATTTCAACACCATCCAAACCGGTCCCTTTGTTGACTCGCCATCGAAACGGTGGCAGAGTCAAAGCTTCGGGCCAGAAGGGCTGGTTTGTGGTGGTTCTCTCTTGGAGAGGTCAACCTTTGTCAGATGTACCCTTTTACTTTTTCTTGGCGTGTGTGTGTGTGTGTTGTTTTTACGGGTTTCGTGGGGGTGAGGGCCTTGCTTTTCTTAGTGACAAAGACAAGGCGTGCTGCTTTTTGTTCGCCTGGATCCTGGATCCGAGGTACGGCTCGGAGGAGTTCCAGCACAAGGTGGAATACGCCGAGCTCGGCGGCCCTACGAGTGAGTCCCGAGTGAGTCCCGACTCCCACCCAAAACCAACATGGAGCACCCGCCGGTGGCTCAAAAATGGGGGGTCCAAAATAGAACCCTGGTAAGTAGAATGGTAGACTCTAAAACCTGCGTAACCCCAGCTGTTCAATTTTGAGCCACACCTAAATGGAGGAAAATTGCAACAGATGAAAGTTCCATGGGAAGGCAACCCTGGTCGTCTTTCTAGGGATGACCGGGCCATTCAAAAGTCATCCCAAAAAAACAGAGGATCCCGGGTCCTTGCTTTGCTCAGTTTCGAAGGTATCCTTCAACCAGAAGGCTTGTCTTGTGACCCAGTAAGATCAGTAAAGTTCCACAGGTGGGAGGGTATGCTTGGCGCGTTGCTAAGGGAGATGCTAATCCACGTCTTCCACAACTGGCACCCTGAGGGTTCCATTTTTGCCAACCACACGTGTGTTTGCGCAAATGGGAAAGCGACCGTGGGGTGGAGGCCATGCATGAGGGTTCTTCGTAACCGTAGAGTTGCGACCAAATGTATGTTTTTCGAGCTCCTGATCCGGTTTTGGATGGGGTTTAGAAGGACTCCAGAAGTAAAACATTTCCTTTCAGGTTGAGGGGAAGCCAAAAGGACGCCGTGCCGTTTGCAATGCGCTCGAAGTCACACGGCGCGATCCGATTTAATTCGGCCTCCAGCGTGCTTCACCTCCGTGTCTTCGTGGGCTCTCTTTCCAGGGCTCTCTTTGTGGTTTTCTGGACATGGCGCTGGTAGACCATGCCATCCCAATACCGAGCCAGCGACATCTCCAGCACGCCCCAGGGCACCAAAAAAGGCCAGCTTTTTGAGATGGCCAAGCTACAGTCTACACCTTGGGTATTTCCCCCGACCACTAGACGTCTCGCTGCTAGAAGTTCATGTTTGTCCAGACATCCATAGCTTTCGTGGTCGGGGTGCAACCCATTCTTCCCACCCTTTAAGCCACAGAAGTGGCCAGGGGTACGTAGCCAGGTGCCCGCTTAGACTTGGTTGCTCTTTGGTGTGATCTTGACACCATCATTTCAGCTTTTGGAAAATGGGCCGCTTTTTCCACTTGCTATCCAAAACAATCTGTGTTCTTTTGGTCCAAGAGCGGAGAATCCGAATCCCAGGGGCCACGAGCGGATGGTAACCCATCAAAGGGCGATGCCCTCTTAGGTTTCTTTGTTCTGGCCCCTGATTCTTTTGGGCAAGTCGGGTTCCCATCCGAGGATGCGGCTCTGCTACATGAACTGCCTCTTGTGGGCCCGGAGCTTGGGCCTTCGAATCCGAGCGACTCGAACAGCTCACAGAGTCGGTGGGGTTTGGCCCGGGATGCGAATGCCAGGCTTGCCTTGGGTTTGTCCAAAGGGGAATGGGCGGTTTGCCTTTGGCGGGTTCCCTTAAACGCAGTGCCTAGGTGTGTTCCCTTTGGATGGCTTGCACACCTTGTATCGCTTTAAAGTGAGGTTCCTTTGATGGTGAGTAACCACACATGGGTTGCTTGGGGGATCCCCCTTTTTGACAGAGAATCAGAAAAGGCACCTACCTTTTTGTGGCCCCCTGGTTCTCAGACAAACCCTCATACACGGTCACAGGGCGTTGCTTCGGCATGCGGAAGTTCTCCTCACTTCTCAACCGCTGCTTTTCCTGGGTCTCAAGCCACCCTCAGCAAATCAGTGGCCGGTGTTTTGACTCTCCAATTTGCCACTAAAGTACCATCGCCCCCCTCAAAGAACAGTCTGCAGCTGGCACCATCTAGCCACTTGGCAGAGGGCATCCACATCATGTTCCTCTGAGGGTATTTGGGCTTTTAGCAAAGTCCAAGTCAATGACAATTCCCTGGGGTCATTATTTTGACGGTTTCTGGGTGTTATCAAAGCCAGAAAATCGGGTGACTTTGACCATGGTAAAGTAATGAAGCCAGTTCCCGTTTGACTTCCCCATGTTTTTCCTCTTAAATCGCCAGGTGCACACAAACAGTAGGGGCGTGAACCATGGCTTTCGGGGCCTTGGCGTCACCTGCTTCTTAGTGGCATCGAAACCCACATGGTCTTTTGCCGCTTCATCAACCAACATGCCCCTGTTTGTGTTTGGGTGCAACTCGCTGTGTCTCGTTTCTGCACGAATTTGTGCTTGGCTTGGGGGGCTTGGGGCTTGGAAGGTTTAAGGGGCTGGTAGGCTTAAGGGGCTCGAGGGGCTTAAGGGGCGCCGGAGGTGCTGCTGCCCCAGAGCCACCTGCGGTGGCGGCTGCAGGACTTGCAGCTCCGGGCGTGGGCCCTGGCGTGGGGTGGGGTGGGGCAGAGTGGGGTGGAGCAGAGGCGGGGGTGGGGTGAGGGTTGGGGGTGGGTGGGGTGGCAGGGTCTTGGGGTTGGGGTGGTTCGGAGGAAGAGGGTCTAAGGTGACTGGGAAGTGGGTATTTGGAAGGGCACGAATGTCGTCTGGCTGCAACTGGTGCTGGGGGCCTGGCGCGACTTCATCGGGTGTGCTGGCTAAGGTGGCAAATTCTAGCGAGCTCACCCGGAGGTGAAACGAGGTCAGCCGTGATTAAAGTCCTTTTCTGAGGTGGTTTCCCTATGTCGTTTATAGTACTTGCCCAGATTCGATGGTTGGTAGCATGATCCATGTCAAGTGTCGACTTGGGGAGAGGATTGCTCTGCTTTCGTGAAACCAAGGGAAGCTCCTTCAATGGGGGCGACGCATCTTGGTATCACAAGGGTGGTTGTTCCTGAAGGCCCCAACAACTGTTGTTTCCTTTTGACTTCCCTTCAAACACCCGTCCCTTCACCAAAAAAGCTGTGGCATTTTCGGAGAAGAACAATAGCCCAAACAAATTGGTAGTTGGGATCCATTGGGCAGGGGAGATAATTATGAAAGTTTAGAGGTAAAACTGCTAAGGTATTTATATAGTTGGAAATATTGGGGCATTTGAATGCTTGGAACACGAAAACACGAACTGAGAAGTCGGGTGGTCTGTGGCTGCCACCCAATCCATGGGCCACAGGGCTGGGCCGTTGCCACACTTTTCGGCCTGGGGTTTCTCAAACTCGACCGGCCCTTTTGGTTGGGGAAAGGGGAAACCACCGGGACGGCGTACAAATAACGGCAACGCTTGGGTGGGGTGATTTTTCCCCTTCGAACAGATCCACCAAAAGCAAGGCGGGGTTGTGGGTGCTCAGGATTTGCATTTGGCGGTGGAGCTGGAGGGCCCAGTCTTCCTGCAGGCCAGCGGTTGGGGCCCGGGCTCGAGGCGAGCTTGACAGCTCAGTGATTCCAGTTGTTTTGGATTAGCTTCCCAGTGGATCCCGTTTACCACTTCAGTAAACAACCGTTCACCGACCATGTTCTTTGTAATTATGTTGAAAAAGCACTCCCTTTACCGAGGACCAGTAGGGAAAACCTGGGACAGGAAACTTGGGTGGCATTATGGAGTGGGATCGGAATTCCAACCATCCATTTTGACAGCACTACAGTACACTTGCCCATAAATTCAGGAGCGCCCAGCCCCTTCAGTTGCCCAAAAATACGAGTTCTACTTTGTGGCGTCGATGCTATCACATGGGCCGAACACGTCAGTAGGCAAATATTGTCAGTTCGCCTCCTATCAACAGCAATCGGAGAGGATTAGATCCTCCACTTCTCAGTTGCCACGACCGCGGGGACATACCCTGTTCTTCCAGTTTCAGAAGTGACTAGAGGATACATCATCATGTAAAACCTGGTGACAAGACTCTTACCTATAGCGGTACTGGCCAGGTCATCCTCGGCACCATCCGCTTCCTCCTGGACCAGGAGCAAGCGCAGCAGTGCCACTCGTCCATTCTAGGCGTCGCTTGGGGGGAGGGGGGGGCTCAGGGGGCAATGGGAGGTTTGCTGTGGCAGGCTTCAGCGGGTTAAAGCACCAAGTAGGGCCCACATAAACCTTTATGACCACGTTGCTGGATTGGTGGACATCATTTACCATGAAGACTTATGTCCACTTCTGGAGGGGATTCCCCATCGAAACTCATAGCCAAAATAACTGCTTTGGGACTCAACCATGTCCGGCAACGAGCTGTACATTTGCCTACCTTTGTGAACAACTGCTTGCAATTCGGTGATGCCAGAATGACAAAGTATAAGGCATGCATGAAATCCGTTTCTGGTGTGGCAGAACGGGTGATTTTACCACATGAAGGGGGGGAGCATTGGGTCCACGTTCGTCAACTCCAGATTCGTCCGGACCAGACTCAGAGGAATCCCGTATGAAGTGATCGCCTCGGGTCGCTTTGGGCTTAGGAAGGGATGCCGGCCTGTATCCATAGCATGGGACTTGAACGCTCGGCGCCCGAAGGAACTGAGGGCTTCGGCCTTCTCCCGTTTCAGGTCGCCTTTCAAACTGATGTGAGGGTTCCAAAATTCGATTGCCGTAAGAACGGCATCCTCTTTAAAAGAAGGGTGGCACCTTGGGCACCATGGTCCAAACAGGACCGCGGCCATGAACTTGACTGTTGCTTCCCTGATCGAGAAATCAGCGCTGGCGCCCACCCGCCTCTGTTTCGTACCCAGAAGGCCCTTGAGGCTTTGGACTTCGATGTCTGCAAGTTCCCACCGAAAGCGCCCCATGCGAAGGGCCCAAGTTTTCCCGGGATGGGCATCGCACTCGACATCGGCAACCGAGGAATCGCCAGAGCGGTTTTCCCCAAGGTATAGGTGTTGGCCCAGTGACTCGCTGGGTTTCCAGATCCAGCATGGCTGGACTTTTTTTCTTTTTCGGGGCGACAGATCTCCCAATGGATGCCAATGCGCTCCTCAGTTTTCCCAAATTCCATTTCACCCAAAGCCGGAAGCCCCCTTTCACAGGGTCACACACACACACACACAGATTCGCCTTGGGAGAAATTTGAGTCCCACTCCACTGTAAATGAAGGACAAGTCACGAAAAACCCCCAAAGTTAGTTAAAACCCATGTCGACGGGAAAGTAAGGGAAAGGCTGAAACCCGAATAAGACTTGTGCCATCCCTTTTACCCAGTTTCTCAACTTTCCGTGGCAGTTCGCTTCACAAACCCTCAAAAGGGGTCACCCAGATGCGGCCAAAATAGGGCCTATAAGCGGCTCTCCTTTGGTTTCATCTGGGTGTTGCTGTTTTGTCATTTGTGCGGGCCCGTTTTAGGGTAGAGGGCAACCCAGCCGCGCCCGCTGCGCCGACTGAGCCGTCCAACTGTCCCGAGGCCAGGACCTCGTGACCTTCTTCGGGGAGCAGCTGCCGGGAGCCTCGAAAAGGAAGGGATTTTGTCCCGGCCGGCTGGGGGTTTCCACCATCGGGTAGCCGAAAATTTCATCAATGAGGGTCGTGCTATTTAGGGTCCAAAAAAGGAGATCCTGAGAGTCGTTTCTTTGGCGCGGATTTCAGTTCGATGACGCAAAACGGTGGCTTGCCGTTGTTGCTTTCCGCTTGGAGACCCACTCAGCGATGGCAGCGGATCGATCCGTTCCGAGGCTGGGCTTCCTGGACCAAGCCATCGACGGGCGATTTCCGGACAGCCTGGAACCCCAGCCCAGGGCATGACTGGCGGGGCGGATGGGGGAGGGGAGCGGAGTCAAGAACACCAGCGTTACGTAGTTGTCCACCAGGATACCTATGACCATTTGTTGCTTCTCAACATTGGCGCTGCACTTTCAAGCACGCTCGGGTTTGAAGAACAGCAACAGCCTCACTTGTTTGGTTGGGGTAAAGGCGGCAAGTTCGGAAGCCCCGGCTCTTTCGCTCCAAATTCGGAAAAACCACCTCGCTCGAAAAGCATATCGGAATGTCTCGCACCTTGTACTTGGCGACGATTTGCTTCACGGTTCCCTCTTTGGGCGTCACTTTTTCTACCAAGCCAAAAAAGAACTCGTTTGAGTGTGCCCATGTTGTGCTTGTCTTACAGGGAGACCTATTCGTTTGAGGGTCCCTTTGGGCTTGTTTTACGTGGTGCTTGCTTTACATTCTAGGGCTGACTAAGTATGAAGCAGAATCTGAGCATACATTTTCTCTATGTACCCCAGATCTCAACAGAAAAACGAAAGTCAGGTTACCCTCAACTGGTGATTTGGACTAATTGGGGATTTGAAACTTTTGTTGTAGGTTGGACAACCACCCCAGACCTCCAAACGACCGTTCCAAACCATCGAGGCCTCATGCGCCTTCTGCTGGACGGGGCACGGGGCCCCACTCAGCGGGCATGTCGGTCCTTCTTTTTCTTTTGAGGCGCGAGGCGTCCCCCCCCCCTTTGTCTTCGTTTTGGAGGGAGTTTCCCTGCAAAAGCAGCAACGCCTGAAAGAAGAGGTGCCCTTTTTTTCCCGTGAGCGCCGGGGCTCTGGGCAAACGGCAGGTGTGATTGGGCTGAGAAAGGTGTTTAGAATCCTTTCAGCAGAACCCCTGACATATTCTCAGATCCTTTCTCGACTGGTGTGCAACGTTAACCCTGGCGGAGTTTGATGCCGGGGTGCAGCCCCCGCAAAAGTGATTGATCCGGATTGACCTTGAAATTAGCTGCGCTCCCCCCCTTTGAATCAGCCAGGGTTTGTGAATTTAAGATTCCCATCCCTCTGTAGCAGGTGTCTCACCCTTGAGGACTCTTTGTTGGCTGCCCAGCTGTGTTGGATACTTGAGCCAAAAGGTGTAAGAAGGGCATGTAGCGTTTGTTGCTCTTTGGTTTGACCTGTTCCCCTTGAATTCTTGGGACACCGACTGCTTTCCCAGGACAGCGTTTAACTTATTGCAGGGGATCAAAGACCAACTCATTTTCCCAGGACCACCAAATGGACTTGCATCAAAAACTGCGGACTGAACAAGCATGATGTTTGCTCATGAAGGAACCGGCAGCAAGCTTGCCTTGCGGGGAGCGCTTCCTTTCACCCAGTCCCAGGCACGTGGTGGCTTATTTTTCCGTTTCTTGGAGGGGCTTTCCCTTTAAAGCCGCCCGAAAAGAAGGGCGCCCTTCTCTCCTGGAGGCTTGGGCAGTTGCCCTCAACATCCAAACGGAAAGCGATCTTTGGTTTTTGGGGGCTGGGCTCCAGCCGTGAGTGCATTGTCTTTTTTGAGGGGAGCCTGTTGGTTGGGTTTAAAGGGAAACCAGAAGGACACCAACAAACTTGGGGGTTCCCCTATTTTAACACAAACCCATGGAGCTGTGTCTCAAAATGGGGGACATCAATCGCTTTGTTGACAAACTGCGGTGGTTTGGACGGTACCTTTGGGGGTCCAACAGCTGAAGGGTTGCCTTGGCCGACAAGGGACCTTCCGTTTAGAGCGAAATTCTGCAGGTTGGAGAAGGGGGTGAAGCAGGGTTCAGTATATATTTCTCCAAAGGCTGTACTTCAACCACCATTTGGAAAGGGCCATTGACAACATATTGGTGTGTTATTTCGTGTTGAACCTATATTTGCTATTTCGGAGGGTGGTTTTGAAGGGACACCAAAGGGGCCACCATTTTGTGGGTTTCCACAGCGCATTGGGATTTCCATCATCTGGTGAATCTTGTCAAAATTCACAAAAGCAGTCAAGTTGCCTGGAAATGGATGTTAAACGCGATGAGAAACGCTTTCTGTTTTGGGAGAAACGAGAAAGCATGCGCTTTTCTTGAGGGCCCCTGTTTGGGTTTGCTACCATCCAAACACGTATGCCTTGGCCCAACAGTTCCCGGACAGAGCTCCCCCAACCGGACGTGGTAGAATTCGGAATCCCCTTGGGAACATGTTTTTCCCAAACTCGGCAGAAGCTCCCAGAGTTGGCCTGGGCTGAGCGTTCGATGCTTGGCAGGGTCTGGGGAGAGGGTTGAGTTTGCTTGAAGCGCCAGTGGGTCCGTGGCGTTCGATGCTTCCATCGTTCCGCGTTGCACGCCATGGTGTGAGCAGGGCTCAAAATCTATTGCGCGGATTTGGAAGATGTACCAGACAAAGTGAGCGAACTCCAAAACCAGTGGTTTGCGGCTGAGTTCCTTTTGTGCCAGTCGTCAAAAAGGCCCTTCCCCTCCAAAACATCAATTGCCCTCCAAATTTGGGCGTTTTTTTTGGCGCCCTCGTGTTGGTCGGTTTTAAAGGGAAGCTAGACATGAACCAATCATCTTGGAATCCCGACTAATTTTGAGACAAGCCCAGGGGATCCCCAAGTGGCATTACCCCCAGGTCCAAGCGGGCCATTCCGAGGTGTCCATTTTGTCCCTGCAGCGGGAGATGCAGAAGCTCCTGGCAACCTTCAACATCTACGGCAAGCTGAACAGGCGGGTAGCTTCTCTCTGGCCCCATGTTTCTACCATCAAAGTCACCCCCTTTTTTGGGTGGGTTAAGGGGAAGCACCTTACAACGGGGGCCGTGATGTTGATTGCATCTAGAGAGTATCAAAGTCAGAAACTGGGGTTGTTTCCCTTTTACCCACCAAAGGTGACTTTGAGAATGGCAGAAGAATGGGGCCAGTTGTCCCCTCGGGGCCAAAAGCTCGATCCTCGACTTGCTTTCTCTCGGCGCACTGAAAAATGCGTCACCTTCTCGTCTGGACTTGGTGGTCCGTTTGGCCTGGGCGATTTATCACCGCGAAATAGGTGGGGGGGCTGGGGACGGTTGCCCTTGAACAGTTCTGGGCACAGGTTTGGTTGCCTGGGCTGGGTTTTTTTTTCCAGATCGCTGGCTCCAAGTACTACCAAAGGGTCCAAGAGTGTCGTCCACAGGAAAGAACCACCGACTTGTCACCCAAAAAAGCAGCTCCTGTGAGCCCCTGTCAACCCAAGATTTATCTGGAAGGGTTGTCAATGCAAAACTTGTGTACCTCCTGTCGATAGAACCCCCTCTTCCACGGGCGACAAGTATATTCGCTAAAAAAGAGGACTGGTGAGTGTGGGGTAAGAAGACTTCCTGGTACCCGAAAAAAACAGTGACCTCTTTTTGCTTTCCCTGGTGGGTGCGAGGTAGAAGATCAAAAGAAGCCCAAGTCTTGAAAGTCTAAGAAACCCAGCTTCAGGATATTCTACAACAAGTTAGCCAAAGCCCCGGTAGGTTTGGCACTGCCTGTACTTCTTCAGTCATAGCTGATTTCTTAGAAGGAGCACGCATCACTGGAGGAGTTTCTTTTGGGATCGACAGTGGTTGCTGCAGACACAGGGGCTGGCTGCCAGCACAACTGCTCTTAAACGATGCGGAGTGCGGAAGCAGAGTTTCTGCGCAAATCTTGGATGCCAGATATGTTGGCCCCGCTACGGCCAGAGATACGCGCACGTGCCCAACCGTGTTCTTGTTTCCGCCGTTCTTGACCTTCATTCCTGAAAAAACAAACAACAAACCTTTGTGGGTTGGGTTCTTGTGTACTTCTTACCGAAGGGGCCAGGATTTTCTGGAAAGCTTTATTTTGACTAGTCTTGAAGGAACACACACACACACACTGGTGCACACACACCCACCCACTCACCCACCCACCCACTCAAGCACCCACCCGCACCCGCACCCGCACCCGCACCCGCACCCGCACCCGCACCCACACCCGCACCCGCACCCGCACCCGCACCCGCACCCGCACCCCCACACCCACACCTACACCCACACCCCTACCCCCACACCCCCGCACCCCAGACCCCCACGCCCCCACACTCCCACACCCACACACCCCCCCACCCACACACCCCCACACACCCACACACCCACACACCCACACACCCACACACCCACACACCCACACACCCACACACCCACACACCCACACACCCACCCACACACCCACACACCCACACACCCACACACACACACACCCACACACCCACACACCCACACACCCACACACCCACGCACACACGCACACACCCACGCACCCACCGCACCCACCGCACCCACGCTCTCACCCACCCAGGCAAGCAGGCAGGCACGCAGGCATGCAGGCACGCAGGCACGCACGCACGCACACACGCACGTACGCACGCACGACGCCTGACCCGCCCGCACACCCGCCCGCCCGCACGCACGCACGCCTTACCCGCCCACGCACGCAGACACGCACGCACGCACGCACTCACGCACGCACTTACGCACTCACGCACTCACGCACTCACGCACTCACGCACTCACCCACGCAAACACGCACGCACCCACCCACCCACCCACCCACCCACCCACCCACCCACGCACCCACGTGCCCACGCACCCACGCACGCACCCACGCACCCACGCACCCACGCACCCACGCACCCACGCACCCACGCACCCACGCACCCACGCACCCACGCACCCACGCACCCACGCACCCATGCACCCACGCACCCACGCACCCACGCACCCACGCACCCACGCACCCACGCACCCACGCACCCACGCACGCACCCACGCGCCCACGCGCCCACGCGCCCACGCGCCCACGCACCCACGCACCCACGCAATCACGCACCCACGCACCCACGCACCCACGCATCCACACACCCACACACCCACGCACCCACACGCGCACGCACGCAGCACACGCACGCACACACCCACAGACACACGCAGACACGCAGACACGCAGACACGCAGACACGCAGACACGCAGACACGCAGACACAGGCAGACACGCAGACACGCAGACACGCAGACACGCAGACACGCAGACACAGACACGCAGACACGCAGACACGCAGACACGCAGACACGCAGACACGCAGACACGCAGACACGCAGACACGCAGACACGCAGACACGCAGACACGCAGACATGCAGACACGCAGACACGCAGACACGCAGACACGCAGACACGCAGACACGCGCACGCACGCACGCACACCCGCACGGCCCCACACCCGCACACCCGCACACACACACACACACACCCACACCCACACCCACACCCACACCCACACACACACACACCCACACGCACACGCACACGCACACGCACACGCACGCGCACGCGCACGCGCGGACGCGCGCACGCGCGCGCGACGCGTGCGACGCGCACAGATGCGCACGACGCGCACGACGCGCACGACGCGCACGACGCGCACGACGAGCATGACGCGCACGAAGCGCACGAAGCGCACGACGCGCACACGCGCACACGCGCACACGCGCGCAGGCGCGCACGCGCGCACGCGCGAAAGCGCGCACAGCGCGCACACGCGCACGGCGCGCAAGGGAGATGTTTTGCGGTACTTGGTGCAATCCCCACAAAAGCAGTTGCTTGGTGAGAGTGGGGGCTCCCCGATAAAATGGTCGACTGGGAAACAGAAGCCGCGAGCCAGGCTGGTGCGGAGGTACAAGGACCGAACGCCCGTGGGCGAAGGGGGATGCGTCCGGGGGCGAAGGCCATGGATTTCATGCCTTTTGCATCTCTCACGGGCAAGTCTGCGATGCTCATGGTTTTTGTTGTCAACAGGTCCGAATTCCGTATCCAAAAAAGGGGACACCGGACGAAATGGTCGCGTGTTGATTCGACAGAGCCATTGGAACAGCTTGGAATGCCCGAAAAGGGGCCTTCCTTTATACGTGGGCATGGCTCCAAGTGCACACTGAAAACCAAGAACAAAAACACCAAACAACCAACAACAAAAACAAAGAACACACACACACACAGGGAGGGGGGGTGGGCAATCTACCTTTGCCTTGCCCGGTTAAACCCCAAACAATCACCGGCAAAAAGGACATGTGCTTATTGCAAGGGAGCGTTGATTTCAGTTTCTGGAATGTTACAGGGGAGTTAGACCGCATGTTCCTTGTGATGACGAATTTCTTGTTGGGTGTGTCTTTTTTGGGGGAACCACCCAAATTGATGGTTTTCCTTTGGCTTTCCCTTTAAGACAACATAACACTCCAAAAAGACACACCCTATTGGAAACATCTGCAGGACAGGAATGTGAACCGCGATCATCGCAAGATCGAGCTGGCCGTTCTGCGTGGGCCCAAGCTGACTGGTCGCCGGGCCCCCTTTTCTATCTCCAGCACGCAGTTGATGTTTCTGAGTTTGTTCAGATGGAGGCTCCTAGATATTGTCCTTTCTCACTCGAATTGGATTTTGGGAAGACCATGGCGGCGAACAACAAGTCCAGACTTGTTCTGACCAATCCACCACTGAATTGAGTTATTTTGGGCCGGTGAATTCTTATGCCAAATAAAAGTTGTCATAGAGAGGTGTCAAAGCAGAGCTTGATTGACGCTGGTGCAGACAGGTGCAAGGTCATTTTTCCGTCCAGCTACCTGGTGCGGGGTGATAGTGAGGCCCATATAAAGCTTTCTACCCATAGAGCCGAAAGTTCCATGCTGGCTGCGGCCTCAAAAGTTGAGAGTGGACTTTCTTGTTTTCCCATAATATTCCGAAAGACACAGTGCCCTCAAAGGAACCCAAATCAACCAAGCGTTTGTTCACTGGTTTTGACACATACCCCCTTTTGACACGCCGCCAGCGCGGCTTTTTGCGCAACAGGGAGCCAGGACCCAAGGTCCTGCTACACCGGAGCTACCTTTTGACCTGCTCGTCGGGTATGAACAGAGGGACCAACCCAACCAACATGTCGAAAGCTTACAGTTCAAGCTAACGCGCAGTCCAGGTTTGGGAATGAAGAGGCGCGAATAAGGCTTTTCAGGGCTGGAATGTTCGGTCCACGCTGGAGGTTTCAAAACAGAACCCCTTCACGGCTTGCCACAATGGGTAACATGCACAAAGGATGTGTCATGTCCAATTTCAAGACACTTCCCTACCCCAAAGGATGATAGCAGGCAACTCAGCAGGCCTTGGGCGAAAGGTGGTGTTGCAGCCGGGTTGGTCGGTGTGCTGCTGGTGCGTCGAGAGGGGCCTGAGAGTCCGCGTCACTGAACCGCTTGCTGTTCAGGCAGGTTTCGCAGCGTGACACAGCTTGAAATCTTTGGCATTGTTTCCGCTGGAAGCCGCTGGTTTGTACAGGTTTAGATTTTCGGGGCGCTGGTGAGAAGAGGGGGTGCGCTTCATCCACGGAGCATGAAGCTGTATCGTCCTGTGAGGCGCGTGATGTCTCAAGTGGCGGTGCATCCTGCGCACCGGCTAGGCTCGCTTGCGCGGCAGTTGGTCCCATCCTAACTGGTGTAGGATTTTGTCCATCCACAGTACTGGAGGTGACCAGGTGTTTTTACCTCTAGGTTTTGCATCATGGTTCCCCTTGGTGGGGTACTCATAACACCAACAAGTGAGGTCCTCCGATTCTCAACACCAAGTTTGCCTGCAAAGTGCTTAGGAGCACAGACCGGTAAGCCATGCATGTGATGTTCCTCCATCAGGTTTTGGGCGAGATCTGTTTGAATATGCAGACAGCCCGTTTCGTTCAGAGGGGACACCAAAAGGAGGTTGTTTAAGCAGTAGGCTTAAAACCATGTTTTAAGTAGCGGGCCAACCCTTCCCTCCTCTCGTTCTGCTTGACTTGGGTCTCAGGGGCACGTTCAGCAAACTAAACGGACTCACCGTGATTGCTTTTGCAGCCTAGGTTTGTTGTTTTCTCCTCGTTCTTCAAGCTCGGCAACTGAACTCGGCGCTATTGGTCATGTGGTGCATTTAATTTTAGTCGCCTCATGAAATGTCAGTCGTGTGTCTGCTTCGGTGTCGCCTCATGCCCCCGTGTGTTTTTCGGTTTCAAGCGGGAGCAGCGGACGCCCTTGGTTTGGCCTTCGGGGATGCGACTCAAAAAGAGTTGTTGAGCCGCCGGTTCAAATCAACACCCCAGAGGAGCGTCGTGAAGGCCGCGAACCAGTTGGGAAGTTTGCGTCCAGCTTCAGCTCGGTTTGGGGCACATTCTCACGATGTGTTTGTTCCCCTTTGCCAGGATGGATCGCCAAGGCCCGGGTCGGAAGCCCATTCCCTGCGAGCCATCCCCGGTAAAACCGCTCTGCTTCTTGAAGGAGGGCTTTGAACACTTTTCGGGGCGTGAAACAGGGGGGGGGGGGGGGAAACGGGGAGGCTGGGACCTGTTAATGCCTTCTGGCTCTCAAGCAGGGTTTGTACATTTGTAGAGGGCCTAAAAGACGGGGAGGAAGCAAGTAGTGTTGATGAATCAGCGAATCCGCCCTTCTTTGTCACTGCTTCCAGTCTTTCTTCTGTTGGTAGAAAAGAAGGGTCGACCCAAGGGAGTGTTTCTGGGTAAACTGAACATTTCGGTTCCTCAAAAAGGAGAACTCTGGTTACTTGCTTTTGCTTGTCCAACTGGAGACGTACTTGAAGAGAAGCCACAAAGGACACTTGCAGATAGATTTCCTCCAAAGAAACAATCCTGGGTTGCTCTGAACCTCGATGGTCAAGCCACGTGGAAAACATCAACTTTCTGCCCTTTTGCCTGGCAACCCTGTTTGAAGGCCACACACTATTGGATTAAACAAGACCAACCAAGTGGGACCAACATCAACCCTTAACAGGCGCGGCCAAGTTTTGGTTTACTTTTAATGGGAACAACCGCACGGTTGCTTAAACAGGTGAAACCCTGTCGAACCACCCTGATGGTTTTGGGGCTTTGGGGGCGGATTCAGGAATCGAGAATGGAGGTGTCTCTGTTTTTTGTCCTGGTTTCTGAGCTTCTGAGCTTATTTCTGGGTGTGGCCGATGGGCAAAGGGCCCATAAGGCCTTGGGCGCCAACAAAAACATATCTCACCTGGATCCGGCGAATCTGGGGCGCGCCAGTGCCCCGTAGGACCTGGACCCGGACAACGTGTACCCGCCCCGGGACGAGTTCGAGGGCCAGCCGGGGCCTTCGAGGTCCCAACAGACCGAACATGGGGGGTACCCCCAAAAGCGGTGACCGTGAAGCCCAACAAAAACCCAGCCCCTGGTTCTCCTTTCCAGCCGCTGAAGAATTCAGAAGTCGAACATTGATTTTGATTGCACGTCACTTGTTTGAGGTATAGAGTAACTGCAGCTTGGTCCAGAGCCATTGGGAGAAAAGACACTCCAGCTTCAATGGAGGAACAAACAAACATAACATCGAATTGGCAAGCAATCAGGCATACTCAGCTTATCCGCGGCTAGCATATATTCAAGCCAACACGCCCTGCCACATTCTTTCGTGCAAACAGAAACGCGCCACCCGGCGTTTGATGCGTTCGGGCTGCGTTCGGCGCTTGCTGCGTTCGGCGTGCGTCCGGCGCTCGTTCTGCGTGCCCCCGGCGTGCGGTCGGGTGAGGCTGGAGGGTTGGATCAAGAAGAAGGACGAGCACTGCAAGACCATCGCGTCTCTGCTGCTGAACCTCTTTCAGGCCTTTGGGTTCGGTCAACATGTCCTGTCAAGGGGGACCAGGAGAACAAGTAATTTCGACGGACTAGTTGGGCCCGGGATGTGTTTGGGTCAGGTTCCTTTGGCAAGCCTTGTAGATTAGGGTCCGGGTGACTATGTTGACCGAGGGTGGCCTGGGCCCAGCCGGCAATGACTGCCCGGGAAGTCCATTGGAGTGGTTTCCGGTATGCGAGGAGCAGAAGTTCCAGAGAGACGTGAGCCAAGTGGAGACCACTCTGCTCAGCGTCCTGGACTGGTGGCAGGCACGAGAAAACCGAAAGCCGCTGGCCGCGGCCTGCAGGCTCCACGCCCACGATTTTGGCGCTTTGTTTTTTTTTGCCGGGGGGAGGGGGGGCGGGCATGAAGTAAAACTCTGGGATGGTCCCCTAAACCTACAACTTAGGGGGTGACTTTGACAATTAACTCATAGGGCCGGTCGTTGACCGTCCAAAAGGGAGTGACCTCCCATATTCAGAAGCATCCTCTAGCAAAACCTACCCCCAAAGTCTGACACTTCTGAAAGCTCACGGACAAAGGCAGGCGCCCTCGGGGATGGATTGAGGGGCGTGAGATTGGCGGGCCAACCTTCAATTTCTGGCCCAGCGCGATGTGAGCCACAATCAAACCTTGCCCGATGAAGTTTAAGTGACTCAACCGCAAATGGCACGGTGGCTCTTTTGATTCTTTGCAATGCCAGTGGTTCGTTTGTGTTTGAGATATGTTGGTCTGGCGAAGTAATGCCCCAGGCTGTCCCACCCGCATCGTGGCTGGCTCAAATTCACGAGTTCCGCTGGGGACCTTGCAAACGAGGGCCCAGATGTTCTGATTCCCCTTTTACTCTGCTGAGTGGGTTCCCCCAACAAGCACACGACAACAGACGTGGCTTTCCCTTGCACCAGACGGGTCACTGTGCAACGCAGAGGTTCGGCTCCCAATTTCTGTGCTTCCACGTAAGCGGAGTCTTCGCTTGCAATGCCGGACCTCGTTGGCAGGTGAACAGCACGACCTTCTTCGACGAGCGAGAGGCCACTCCGGCTGGCCAGAAAAGGGGGCGAAGGACAAAGCACCTCGGTGGAATCCACCAAAACCCACGGAAGAACCCAAGAAAGGGTTCCATTTGTAAGCCACTTGCAACTGGACCCAGGTGTGTCATGGGCATTGCAGCATGACTGGCCTACAAAAGGAGCTATGGGATGTGAAATCGTCCCAAATGACCGTTTCAACCGTGGCCGTGGCCCAATGAGTCTTGAGTCGGTATCCTACATGATGTTGGTACCGGTGGTATCCTAGGGATCCAGTACTGAACACCAAGGGTCAACCCCGCAACAGAATCCTGTGTGCAACTGTACCGAGCTCATCTCACCCGGGAAGGGGGGGGGGGAAGAAGGCTCTGTACTGGTGGGTGAAATTTTGTCATTTGCCCAGAATCCTTTCCGGTGGGTGAATTATTTGCCCCTTCGCAAGCCTTTGCCAACAGCAAGCATGGAACCTGAGAGACTTGGGGACTGTGGGCCAAATGCTTTGCTTCAAGAAGCTTCTGAATCCCCAAGCCCCAAGCCCATGTTGAAGGCTTTAACGTGACTTTGGAGATTCGGAAGGCCAAATCCAATCTGCCTATGGTGAGCTCACCTGGTGAACGAGCTCATGAAGGTCCTTTACTTGGAGATCCCTTATTTCTAACCTATGCCTCCATTTTGGGGCGGATGAACACCCATGTACCACCTATTTTGATGTTCACCAGGGGTACAGGTTTTGACCCGCAGCCATATTTCAGGTTTTGGATTTACAAGTTTTGTAGAATCCAATGCTGCGATGCCATCTAGCGGATCGCCCATGGCTTCCAACTATGGCTCCTCAAGCCCACGAGTCGCGTGTCCCCCTCCTCTTTGAGGTGCCCGGGTTTTGGGGTCAGCAACGCAATCGAAAAGGAAGCTGAGGCCCATTTTAAAGGTCTGAGCCAGTTGAGCAGCAAATCATTGTAAACGCTTCGCGTTGCCCGCCTCGGCCAGTCCGCTTTCGGCTCGCTTTGAGGTATATACTGTGCTTTAGCTTGCCTTGAAGTGTTGTTATTAAAGTGAGTGAGTCGGCGCCGAAATGCGTGAGCTGGTTTCCAAGCTAGAGTGGGTGCATGTCCGCGGCATTCCACCTGGCTTCAAGGGCCAGAACGAGAGCCGCAGAGAGCTACAGAATGGTGGGCCAAGCGCGGGTCCAAATTTCTAGAATTTGACTCTCGTTTTTTTTGGTGGGGGGTGGATTTTGCAACTTTCTGGCGGGATTTGACGGGAGTTGGACTTTTCAGAGGGGATTTGACAGGTTTCTAGAAGGGAGTTTTAGGGGGGATTTGGTTGGTTTCTGAAGGGGATTTTGACCGGCTTTAAGGGAATTGACCCGCTCTCAAAGGGGATTTGATCGGTTTTTAAGGGAATCGGGCAGGTTTTTGGAGGGATTTACTGGGTTAGGGAGAATCCCGAAATCGAAAGGATCTGACCTCCCGGCTTGCTTCAGGCGGAATCCAAAAAGAAATCTGAAGCCGGCCCTAGAGAGCCTGGAGCCCACAAATCGAGGCTCCCTACATACATCCACACCGTCCGTAAAAGGCAAGCGTCGTTTTGCGATATCAGAACACGTGCCATGCCAGCAGCTACGATTGCGAAGTGGGGAAGGGGTTGGGGAAGGGGTTGGGGATGGGGTTTGCGGAGATCCTGAAGAGGTCCTGAAGGGGTCTGACTGCTTCCCGGCCCTGGGGGCCGAGGCGAATTTTAGCCAGTCCTGCTCCCTGGCTTCATGGTGTTCATCGTGTTGCCTATTTTAAGCCTGAAAATCCCCAGGTTGACAGAACTCAAATTGCACAAGGCTTTCAGGGTCCTTAAACGGGTTCGAATAAACGGGTTTCAGGACAACTGTGTGTGCAGCATCCTAGCACCCATTTGTTAGAACGAACCCATTTAAGGTCACAAGTTTGTCGCTGCTCAGTTGGACACAGACTCATCTCCCTACAGAAAGCATGAACTACAGAATCATGAGGAATCTTGGTTGCTCTTTGGTTGGACCTTGAGCCGTTTGAACCTTCCGAAAGTTACTCTGAGCGTGCTCCTCACCAGGAAAAGTTTCGATCACTTTGGCAGAGGAACTGGAGGATCGAAGGGTTGGGAAGACTCTCCTCTTGAAAAGGGCTCCACACTTCCATGGTTGGAAAGAGGCCTGGGTTCCCATCGCCTGAAACCACCAGGATACGCCTTTGGCATGCGAAGGGAACCCATTTCAACCCCTGCGGCTCGCCTCACAGGAGGTGCGTTGGGGCGCCCCAAGGGCATGGGAGGCGCAGGGTTCACCAGACCGCTCCCCAGCTTTTGCCTTTGGGTGGAATCTGCACGACAAATGAGGAATCACCTCCAAGAAGCCCAGGGATCCGTTCGAAGTTTGCTGGTTCTCTGACACTATTCATCGATGGGCTCTTGGTCACGGTTTCGCTTATGGCTTGGGCAACCAGTCGAGTGGCATGAGGACTCCTTGGTTTGCGACTGGGGTTTAACAGATCTAGGGCAACCGCGCGTATTTTTTTCTTCTTCAGATGGCCTCAAAACCACAAACACTGATTCGTGAATGTCTGCAACAACAAGGTCCGCCCCAACTTGTGCCAAGCGTTTGGAGGCCAAAGAACCTACAGGATGATTTCATTCAAGGGGGGGGGAAGGTAGACGTGAGTGTCATGCAATGGGTAAGCCTTTGGACGGGGTCTGGAAGAAAACCACCGACCTTTTTTCACTTTAGGGAAAAGGGTTTGTGAGCCGGGGATGCCTCCAAAACGGCAAGTGGTTCTGCCCATTTGTTGATGTTTGTTTATCCACTTTTGCGCACGTTTTGACGTTTTGGTGAGCAACCCCCGATTTTTACTACAATGTAGCATTCTCACCTTTTCGAGAACGCATTTCAAAGCTCCCCGGAACTACGTAGTTCTTCTCCTACTTATAATCATGGAAGCTAGCGTTAGGAGGGTTTGGACGTCCACAGCTTTGGTTCTCGGAGTTGGATTGAGTGAGACGGTTTTGATTTCAATTGCTTGAGGTCATTGCTGCGAACGTTCTTCTTTTTGATACCTCGGGTTCCCCGTTGGTTCCCCTTTGGTTTCCCTAAACCGGGCGTCCATCCGAGGCCCTGTGGTAAGCCTCGAGGACCGGCTGAAGCAAGCGGCCATGCGTGCCTCGTTTCCGAAAAACAGTGAGAGCTGGGGGGCGTCTCCGTGTGGGTGTTGGAACCCAAGGCTCGGACCTAGTCGGTTCCCTAAGGTTCGCTACGATAATTTGGGAAAAACTGATCTTTTCCAGCTCACCAGTCTTGGTTCTTCCCGACCTCGCAGCGGAATTGGCTCGCAGGAAAGGATTGGTGCGCTTGGCTGGTTGGTTTGGGTTGGGTTGGGCTAGGTTGTTTTGCATTGGTTTGGTTTGCGGGTTGTGCGGGTTGCTTGGCTTGTTTTGGTTTGTCTTGGTTTGTTTTGGTTTGGTTTGCCCTGTGGTTGGGGTGTGGGTTAGCTTTGTTTGGTTGGTTTGTCTTTTGTTTGGTTGGTTTGCTCGGGTTGGGTTGGGTTGTCCCTTGTGTTGGTTGGTTTGCCCGGGTTGGCTTGGGTTGCCTTGGTTTGGTTGGTTACCGTTGGTTGGTCGTTTGGTTGTTTGGTTGGTTGTTCGGTTGGGCAGTTCAATCGTGGTTCGAACAGCTCAGCTTGTTTGGTGCATTCTTGGCCTGGACCTTCCATTGATACCTGTTTTTTCCGCTTGTTGTTTTTCCTGCTCGGACACACAGCCCGATTCTTCATTTTCTGCCCGAGCAATGAAAAAGTGCCTGAGGTTTATTTTTTCAACTGAGCACTGTTTGTGCGCTTGTTTGCGGTGTTTGCGCTCGTTTTGCGGGCCGTTTGCGCACAATTTCTGCTCGAGTAGGTGATATTAGGACCTGACAGCCCGCATTCCTTCAAAAACTGCTCGAGGTCCAAAAAAGAGGACAAGCCGAGAAAAAAAAGGTCAAAACTGTAAAACAAGCCGATTGACAGGGGAGGCAGAAATTTCAGGTACGTTGGAAGGTCCAGGGGTGGTATAAGTGAGCTGACGGGTGTTTGTGTATCCTCACAACCTTGCTTTAGTTTGTTAGCCTTGCACCAGAGTGTTCCCAAGAAAACCAGAGGGTCGAAGAACGCGGCATCGGTTCCTGATCTGGCCCCAGCACTTACTCAGCCTTATTCAGGCTTGGGGTTTCTATGCCGCCAGGCCCTCTAAGGGGCGAAGCCATGTATCCAGGATCTCCGAATCGGACCAAGCACGTTGTTATGGGCACGGCTGATGTGGGCATCTCCCGAGTCGGCTCGTGGCGAGAGTTTCTCCGGGTCCCAAGGAGTGATGGAGAAGCGGGCCCTCACGAGCAACCTGGATGATGAGTGGGGACCAGTGCAGCCATGCGAGTATGTCTCCAAATTTGGGTCTCTGTCAAAATAGGAATCTGGACCCCCACAATGGCGGTTTCGCTTTTGATTTCTCTCCTTAAAAAGGGCACCCTTAAGACAAAAAAACACAAATGGAGCGGAGTTCCCGTTGCAAAAGGCAGGATGCCTAGCAGCCAACTCAAGAGGTTGCCACCATAGCTAATGGTTGTGGTTGGGACCCCGGTAACTTTAAACCAAACCCATTTTGGGGGCTACGGAGCTTAAAACCAACGCACTTATTGCACATTCTCGTTGCAAGGGGTGCGGTGGTTGAGCTGATGGGACCGGGAAGGTTCTCAGCACCGTCAACCTCCGGAGGCGTTTTGAGGTTTTCCCTTCAGCGCCAGAATAACCGAGCCTGCCAAAAACAACCTGCACCCATAATTCGACCTTACGGTGACCTATGGTCTTCCACCCCCTCAGAATGGTTGACCTATGACTAACTCCCTTTGGCTCCTAGAAGTAGTTTCGGTGACCTATGGCCATTCCAGGAGCCCCCCCTTTTCTTGAAGAACAGGCTTCCGCGCTGTTTGCCGCCTCGTGCGGCGAGGTATGGAGACCATGGCCTATTGCGCTCCCTACGAAAGTGTCGGGGCCCCTTTGCGCAGGACATGGGGAGGTCGGCGACAGACCAGTGGCGCCCTTCTTCTTTCTTTCTTTCTTTCTTTCTTTCTTTCTTGCTTTCCTTCCTTCCTTCCTTTCCTTTCCTTTCCTTTCCTTTCCCTTTCCTTCCCTTCCCTTCCCTTTCCTTCCCTCCCTCCCTCCCTTCCTTCCTTCCTTCCTTTCTTCCGTCCTTCCTTCCTTCCTTCCTTCCTTCCTTCCTTCCTTCCTTCCTTCCTTCCTTCCTTCCTTCCTTCCTTCCTGTTGCAGTGGGTTTCCATGAACAAAAGCAGGCCAAGAATGTTGCCTTCTCTTGTATTTTACCGTGGTAATGCACCAGAGGTTTGGGTCGCAACCCTACAGTCGTTGGTTTCTTTTTGGCTTCCCTGAAAATCAAAGGCGGTCCAACCGAAAGGGGGTCACCCCCCAAACGACGAGGCACAGGAGCGTTCCTCGCAACCGGAGAAAATATGAGCCTAACTGGTTGATCTCCTCCTGTCGTTCCTTTCATCCAAAAGGCTCCTAAGGATCCTAATGTCCGCGTTTTGCGACCAACCCATTGTGAGCTCCCGGGAGATACCCTCACCAAAGAAGGCCTGGGTTGCCGGGGCGATAAACCTGTTTGGGGGTTCTAATCGTCAAGTCTTTTTTTTGGCATCGGGTCAGGTACCGTAACGCTTCCTGCCTCTTATAGAGGCGTTTTTCAAGGCAGTTCCCTGGTTCGCGGAAGGTTGCAGCGGCAAAACGGAAGCCGACCAATTGGGGGCGACTGGTTTTGAAGCATCCCTGCCTCGCATTCCCTCTGCACAACGGCACGGAGTGATTTGGTACTCTGGGGGTCGTGCGGCTGGCTGGCTGCTGGCTCCGCAATACAGGGCATGGAATGCCTCGTAATAGGCCGTCCTCCGAATACAGGGGATTCATCCAACTGCAGCCTTGTATTGTCAGGTTCTACCCCGTTGCTTTGGTTGCTTAGTTGTGCTGATTCCCAGGTTCGATTGGAAGGGAGGTCTCTGGCCTTAGACTGTTTTCCTTTTCATGTTGATATCCGTTGGGTTCCATGATGGGAGGATACTCAGGGCGCCTCATAAATCTCTTGAGTCTCTCTAAAATGGGGCCTTTCGACGAGTCTTGTCGGGGGAACAGACGGGCCTTGCGCCGGAGCCGAAGCGCTTCGGCAGGTGGTGGTGCTCTCTCTCTTCAGCCGCCTCGCGCTAGAGCCGAAGTTCAAGAGGCGGCCGATGTTTCGCCGACGGGCCGATGGATTCGTCGATGCGTCCAGCGGTCTCTGGACTCGCGGGACGCGCGGGGAAGGAAAGGTTGGGGTTCAACTTCTGCGGAATCAAAGCAGCAGGACAACAACCGCCCGACGAAACAGGACAGTTAATTGGAATCCCAACTTCTAGCACGGCTCCAAAACGGATCCCGGTCATGGTCCCGCGCCCAGATCAACGCGCTGGGGGGGTGAAGCTTTCCACAGGTTCTTCTACCAGCACGCCCTGGAGACCCTGCTGTGCTGCGTGTGCACTGGCATCGCCGCGGAGGCACGTGAGGCGCGGTTGGGCGGCTGGTTGGGTAGAGGGGTGGTGTGCTTGGGTGTGGCGGGGCTGAGGCTTCCCGTTCCACCGCCTTGACTACATCTATACAGGTTAAACATGTTGTGTGTGCAGAATCATAAGTATTTTAGTTGGGCACTAATTTGCTGAACGGGTTGCGTTTTCTCTATTCCTGTTGGCGATCAAGGGACATAGTATGACTGGCGGTACTTTTTCAGCATCGAACGTGCAAATGGAAGGCAAGTCCAGTACACTATGCACTCAAAGAACTTGTAGCGACCCGTGCAAATGGCAGCGCTTTGGTTGAGGCTCGGCACTCGTTTTGGGGTGGCTCAGAGGAACCCCACATGGAAACCACCCCATTTGGGTTCCCCTATTTGAGACACCTGGACAACCCCGAAATCTCAGAGTTGACATCAGGATTGATTGCTATTGGGCCCGAGGCCCCTTTCCCCTGTTTCTTGAACATGGCTGGCGGGCAATACTAGGGATCTGAAACATCCTGGGCAGAAGGTGTGGCTTGAGCTGGGCAGAAGCCAAAGAGTTGGTTCAAAGATCGCTCCCTTGCAAATGACAACGTGCGCAACAAACCCCCCCGCTGCTAAAGGAGCGTAGTGCCGAAAAGGGCCATTGTACTGCCATTTGCTGGGAGGGTGCCTGTTTCCTTGGAATTTGGTCGCAACTTGAAGGACCTTTGCCGATGGGGCCATGATGAAGGTCACCCGCACTCGAGTTTGGGTTTGTAGGCCCCTCTTGGGGGGCCGCGCACAAAGTGCGTACTCTGAGAAGAACATGCACAACCACTTCCATATTTTGAGTCTCATTTGGCGGATCCGGGGTCCACGTTAAGTGACAGAAGCCCCACAGGGTTGCTAGCCTCAAAATGACCAAAGGGTAGACAAACTTGGTGCCAGGTCTGTCTTTCCTTTACAAGACAACCACCTTCCTCACGCCTTGTGGCCTTTGGGGCCTTTTGGAGTCTCGCCAGCGCGCTAGGCCGCGGCGACTCTGGCGAACCTCATGTGGGTGCCAGACTTGGACCAGGAACGCCTCGCCCGGCGGCCGAGAAGCCCCAAACGGCGCTTCGGGTAGGGGTGCTCCCACCCTGGGATTTTCATGCTACAGACATGTTGGCTTCGTGTTCCTTCACGGACCCAAAAAGGGGTTCCCGAACTTTGCGGCTGGAACCCATGCGCAGCCAATGGGCATGGGAGTTGCCACCGTTAGTGTTTTGGCCATAGCTTCTCAAAGGCCTTCTGGGCGTCTTCTTGGGGGGCTGTATCGTCTCATGGAGTCGTTTCCTTTGGTGAATTCGGTGGTTTCCTTTAGGCTTCCCTGCGGTTTATACCGCTGCTCTGACGTTTCGCACGGCGTTGGCTCAGCAAAAGCCACTCACGGGCTTTTCTGTCCGCCCCCGGATCCATCACGTGGGCCAGCCATGCGACAGGTAACCCTTCCACCACCTCATGCACCCCACAGGCAAACTCGGGAAAGACGACCGATCCCCAGCCGCACAGCGACCCTCCTTTACTCTCTGCATGGGCAATTTTCCGCCGGCTGTGAGTCGAGGCTGGGACCAGTTTTGCAACGGGTACTTGCCTCGCAAAATGTTCAGAACACAATTCGAGTGCTAGTTTTTTTCAAGGCTGGGCCTGACGTTCCGTCGGTCCGCCTTCAAGGCAGCCTTGCTTTCGGCCACTTACCGATGGGGCCCTAGGTGTCCTTTTTGTTTGATTTGCTTGAAAAATAGGAGGCGATTCCTGGAAAACCTGGGGGTTCCATCAACTACCAGGGCCATCTATGTTCCCAAAAAGGACACCTATGGATGGGGCCCCATCCACTCCGTGCGGATCAGGTCTGCTGGCTGAAGTTCGACGGCTCAAGGCGCCGGGTTTGGGGTTTGAAGTGGCGGGAGGGGGTCAGCCGGGGGGGCAGGTGAAGGGAAGCCTCTTCTTGTTTTTTTGTTGGGGGGGTGAGACTTTTGCTTGAGGCCCGATGTTGAAAGTCATGCCGCCGTAGCGAACCCCTCTTATTGGATGATTTTGACGGAAACCAAGAGAGCTATTTTGAGGGGCGCCAAATTTCAGGATGCACCCATACTCTCCACATGGCAATCCACAAATCAAATCCATGTCTAGAGGAATAAGCCTTGGAAGAGACCATGTTTGCTAATTTGCAGGGGACCACGAGTCCTTGGGCCGTTCGGGCTTCATGCGTTCCATCTTCGAGTTCTGCGGTTCTTGGCGGGTTCAATTCGTTGGATCTTAGGTTCTAGAAGTCAGCTTCTCGAGACCAGGCCCTTTGGCCTGTGGATGAAATGCTTAGCCCAGAATCCGGCCCATGTTTTTTTTTGGCACCCTCTTTCCAATCATGGAAGTGGACGAGCCTCGTCCTTTCAAGAGGTCCCCGAGTTTCTCTTTTATTGTTGGAGAGAGGGTTGGAAGGAACCTACTTGGCCCCTTGTACCTTGCCAGTTGTTTCCCCTGAAGCCTCGCGCCTGCCACTGACCAGTGAACCATTGTCATCGGGCCGTGACGGAGGACGGGGTTCCCGGTATCTCCCCCTTTTTGGTGTTTTTTAAGCATCGCCTTTAAACTGGCCCAAAGCTGAGCTTCCCATGGCAGGCGCAGGGGTGATGTTTTAAGGGGAAAGCTATAGCAAACCCTGCGGTGATGGCGTGCCCATTTACAGCGCCGAAGAAAAAGGTGTGAACTCTGGGCGCTGACTGTGGCGTGAGCCTTCTCCGAGTTGGACACAAGGAAACCATGGTACACCTGTGATGGCCGCTGCTTCCCGGCAGTTCTGGATCCGCTGTGGATGTCTCTCTTCTGTCGTCGACAGCGAACTTGCAGTAGCTCTGGCGCCCACGCAGAGGCCGTGCAGTCCGGGAGCGGCAGGCTCGTGCTGAGGCGCTCGACGTGGGGCGCCTCACAGTCTCCTCAGCCCGGCCGCCTCCGGCGACAAGCAACGCTTGACTGAGACGCAGGGTTGCCAGCTTTTGCCGCTTGCAACCTCCAAGCCGCAGACCAACCAAATATTTCACCTTGTTAGTTGGAAACCCCTTGACCTTGAGTCACAGTTTCCCAAAATGAGATTCTCGGGGGTGCATGATCCCCCCAGCCGGATTTTTTTTTTTGCGCCCCCATTTCCAGAACGCCGCCATAAGTGCAAGGTGTTTTCCGTGTTTGTTCTAACTCTTCAACATGAAAACAAATCAAACAGGGGACTTCCCCTGTCAATGGACTCCTTCCACCCCCCCCCCCCCGCCTCGTCCCTTCGGCCGCCGGTCGGATGGCAGGTGCCTCACGGTGGACAGCGCCAACGTGCTGCTGCCCGTGCGCTTCGGGGACCTGCAGCCGGTGGACATCGGCCAGGGCATGCGCGGCTCCCCGTTGGGTTGGAGCTGGACGGGTCCCGGTGGGAGGGGATGCCACAAAGGGCCCTGGATTTTTTGGATGCCAAAAGGGGCCCTAGACTGGGAAAGACACGGAAAGCAGCGGTTCACTTTTTTTTAAATAATAAGGGCACCCTTCTCGGTTGCAGGGTGTTGTGCCCTTGGTTTTTGTGGTTTGGGTGAAAGCAGATGGCCCAAATTTCCCATTGGCTTGCTTCATCCGCTTTGCTTATCCGCTTTGGTAGAGAGGTGGGAGGCGGATTTCGATTCTGATGGTTCTGCGCAGGGCGAAAAAATAAAGGGGTGCGATGATGTCCCTTTTGATTCCCTTGGAAATATCCAGGGCCCCCAAAACGCCGGTCTCTACAGTCTTCACATACTCTTCACTTTTGGGGGTTCCTGTCAGCTTCCGTGGACATCATTTAAACGGGGAAGTGTGTTCCGGGGTGTTACCCTATCCGTGAAGGGTGGCGTGCTTCAGATCAGGATAGCTTCGCCCCCGTCTTTGAAAACCCGAGGGCAGAGAAGTCTAGACCCTCTCTTTTTAGGAGTGCTTCTCGAAAGTGGACTTGGTTTGTTACAGGGAAGCCAAACGGAAACCAGTCGGAGCCATTTTGAGAAACGCACACCTGGATCTTTCTGAAAGGCCCTGTTCGATTTCGCGCCGGTACCTGAGGTACAAGTCCACTTGGGGCGTGGAGTTCGTGTATGGCTCCTGCTCCTTGGCTGGCGTTTGGCAAATGCATTTGCCCAAGGGTCCCACTTGGCTTGGTCAAGTTCGCCCCAAAACTCGCCCCGCGTTTGGAACAGGGGCGAGTGCAGGGGGCCAAAAGGCGGGTTCTTTTTGTGAGGTTTTCTGGCTTCCGGCAACGCGGGAGATGTCAATCGTTTTGCCTTGCCTTTTTCCGGATTCTTCAAACATCGCAAGACGCACGCGGACATCCAGACACCAAACCCTGGAAAACAAACATTGGGGGGTGTCCGAGCTGGGAGGGGAATCCTACGCAGTTTGCCCAAGTTTTAAAAGGTAACCCTGCGTCCGAGACGGAGGACACCAGTCACCTCGTGTGTTGACTCATTTTAATGGTGGATTTTTCCTTCTTTTTTTTCCGGCATGCTAGAGGCTGTTGGCGGTCCAAAAGCAAAATCTATTTCCGCGTTTTGCCTGTGGGTTAGAGCCTCGTTGGTCCAAGCCGCAACGGAGACCTCAGCTTGACAGTCGGTTTCAACAGGAAACCGCTTCAGGAAATGGGGGACAGCCTTTGGGTCGTTGTGACCCATTCTTTTCGAAAACACGATTTCCATTTCCTCCCGGGCATTCCTCACACAGGCGATGCTCTCATCCCTTTCGCCTGCATGCCCATCTTTTTGTTGACGAATTCTCGGCCCAATTTGCTCGGTGAAACGGCCCAAAGAATTCGAGGAGCGAGGGCATCCCTATGGTTTGAGGTTTTCGGCCTCGCCCTAGGGTGGACAATGTCCACGGGCTTTGACGGGAAAACAGAGGGGCACAATTCATTGGATACACATTTTGGGGTTGCTTTGAAGGGAAGCCAGGGAAACCACCGATTTTTTTGGGGGGTCCCCCTACTTTGATGCATGACCCATTTGCAACCAGCAGAACCTTCAAAGGGCAGCCAACATGAGTCTGTCAAAATCAACTAGACCCGCAAAATGGGATTTCGGTGCTCCTTTTGGTTCCCCTAGTCCAACATAAGAAGGTGCCCCAACCACAAAACGGACTTCCATATTGCTGGGGTCATCACTTTGACGGTTTCTGGGGGTTATCAAAGTCACAAATTGGGGTTGGTTCCTTTGAACTGAACGGGCGTGACTTTGATCATGGTAGAATAATGAGGCCAGTATTGGCTTAGACAGGTTTGAGCAAGGCTCAACTGTTTGAGCGACATGTGAGGCTTGACGCTGCACCCGGATGGGTTCAAGACCTACAACGTGCCGGGCCTTCTTACCACGGCGCGGCTGCGGAAGGGGTTGGGGGGTGGTTGGGTGGGTTGGGTCTTTTGGGTGATTTGGGCTTGTTGGGCTGGTTGGGGTGGGTTGGGGTGGGTTGGGCGGGTTGGGGGCTGGGGGCTGGGTAGGGTGTGGAGGTGTTGGTTTTTTGACATGTTTGCATGCTTCTAGGGTGGGGGCTGCTTAGGGTTTGGTGGTACACACAAATTAAACCACGAAGGTCCTACCAACAGATTGGGAGGCGCTTGCTTTCCTGGAGATCTACTTGGAGTCCTTCTCGGTCGGTTTGGTTGAACACAAATGCATTGCACCTGTTTCGTTTTAGTTCTGCCCTTACATCTATTTGACGCACAAGGACATCTTGGTCGGGGATATGGGAAAATGCTTTCCCCAAAACTATGCATCCGATTCGCCGTGGCATAGCATTCAACCGGCCGGTTCAGATGGGCTTGCCATTCGAGGCTATCCTAGGCAGCCGTTCCACTTCCACGGCTCCATTTGGAGCCCCATGTGCCGTATGACGGTTGCCGAGGGGAAGATATTCTGGCTCCTATAGAATTTAGCTCACTTGCAGGACATTTTGGGTAGTTTCTTTGTGCCACTATTCACAGGGTCATTTGGAGGATGCAGCCGTTCTTGCATTTGCTGTTTTGAGGGGACATGCTCATGGTTGGTGCACGGCCACCAACGTCTACACATGGTTGTTGGGAAGCGTTTTACATTTTTGCTTATTGTGGTTTAGTGGGAAATCCCCACTTTAGCTGCTAAAATCTAAATTTTTGCTCCCTTGCATTGCAACGTCAACCAAGTACACAACCTGCCCGAGGCCGAGGGATTGGTTTTGTGAAACGGCCCAGTGCCACGGATTGGGCGAAGTTTTGACAATGCGCACGTTTTTGGCATTCTGTTGCACGGTTTTGGCCATTGTTCCCATGAGTCACGGGCAATATCATCAGTCGTCTACTGTTGTTTTGGCAAGCGACGAGAAGGGAGGACCATCCAAATTTCCAACACCAGGTGTGTAGACCACCAAACTTCCCCATGTCCTTTTGGAGAACGAGCAAACGTGTGTGGGGCTCATAGGTGGGACGTTGACAAAATGGGCTCGACCCTTGAGGTCCATGGTGACAAGCAACGGTCACCAAACTCAAGGGGCTGGCCTCAAGAAAAGTGTTAAACATTCCATTTCCCACTTCCGGTTGGACCACTAGCTCCACGTGTGTGTGTGTGTGTCCTCAAAAAGGAAATTGGACTCGTAACCACTTCAAACTGGTCAGTTTCTTTTGAGGCCCCTTCAAAAGAGGGTGCCCAAGAAAAGAAAACTGCATATTCACCAAAGTCACAATCTGGGGATCTGGCAACGGCTTCGTTTCGATCTTCTTTTCATTCCGGCAAAAAATAATGGTACAAGAGACAAAATTGGTTGTACAGCAATCTCCACCACCTTGGTGAGACCCAACAGGGTTCCCTATTTGGGGGTGTCTTGAGGGTGTATCTTGAGGGTGTCCTTTTCGCCCTGGCCTTTCCGGAACACCAAAAGGAAACCACCAAAATGGGGGCCCCCATATCTTGACACACCCACGCACACAGACACAGACATAGACACAGACACAAACACAGACACAAACACAGACAAAAACACACACCCAGCCCGTTTGGTCCAAGAGGCCAAACGATGGCCTCAGGTTCACTGCTCCCTGTTCCCATGTTGGTTTGAAACAGCACCATCTTTTGGGCCAAATATTGGTTTCCCCTAAGTGGGGCTGATGTGCAATCCCTCAAATCCTTCAAAGCAGTCTGGTCGAGCACGCAGACTGGACTGGTTGCAGCTTCAAGATGGGAGTCTTGGGCTTGGGACTCTCCCTCTTTACCAGCGCTCTTTGTTCCGAAAGGCCGCGCAACTGTGTTGACCAGTTTTGTTTCTTGCTAAATCAAGCCTCGTTTTCTTCTCTCTCTCTCTCTCTCTCTCGCATCGCTTGTTCCGGCACAAAGGGCGATTTGATTCCTCCAGCCCCCCCCCCCCCCCCCCCTATCCCATCCCCTCCTCCCCGGGTTCCGGGGAACCGACTTCCGAACTCGACCGCCCGGCGCGAGGCTTCCCCGCAGGACACCTTCAGAAACAGCTCCCAGAGCTGTGACCTCGGTCCGAGGGCTGGCCAACCTTGCCACATTCCCGCCATTCCAGGGACCAGAAAATTCAAGGCTTGAAGTTGTGACCCTGGGAGAATTCAAGGGCCTGCCTTTGGTCCCCCAGGTTGTTTCTGGCCTGTTCTTCTTCAACTGCCCGGGATGGATCTCCCTAGTTTCCAGAAGGGTACCTGCAAGGCTCGAGGCTTACAAGGCGTACTTGTCAGGACCGAACTCATCGACTTAATCAATCGCCCAACGAAACCACATTGAGTGTGGCTCAATCTTCCAGAGCCAAAATTCGTTTCTGCCCAGAGCCTAGGCTTTACCACTTGCTGGACCATATGTTGTCTTCCCAGACTTGGGTGAAAAAGTCTTGGGCGAAGAATCCACGTCAAAGTTGCATCTCGGCCCTTGGCGAAGAATCAGAACAACGCCGGACGCCGCCCCATGGTCCTTCGAAGGCTATGTTAGGGGGCATTCTGCGTTCTATGTAGGACTCTTAAAAGAAGGCAGTACCTTCATGGGGTCCCATGCCCCCCCCCCCAAATGTTTCCTCTTGGTTGCCCTAAGACCGCAAAAGTGGGGGGGGGGGGCAACAAATCATACAGAAGGACGTAACCATATCAGGGTCAAACATCGATGGAGAGTGCTGCTCTTAGCTGTTTGCGTAGATTGCATGTTTATACATATACACACATCTGTGGGCATGTGTGTGTGTGTGTGTGTGTGTGGGTGTGGGTGTGGGTGGGTGGGTGGGTGGGTGGGTGGGTGGGTGGGTGGGTGGGTGGGTGGGTGGGTGGGTGGGTGGGTGGGGGTGGGTGGGTGGGTGGTGGGTGGGTGGGTGGGTGGGTGGGTGGGTGGTGGGTGTGGTGGGTGGGTGTGTGGGTGTGGGTGGGTGGGTGGGTGGGTGTGGGTGGTGGGTGGGTGGGTGGGTGGTGGGTGGGTGGGTGGGTGGGTGGGGGTGGGTGGGTGGGTGGGTGGGTGGTGGGTGGTGGGGTGGGTGGGTGGGTGGGGTGGGTGGGTGGGTGGGTGGGTGGGGGTGGGTGGGTGGTGGGTGGGTGGTGGGGTGGGGGGGGGGGGTGGGTGGGTGGGTGGGTGGGTGGGTGGGTGGGTGGGTGGGGTGGGTGTGTGGGTGGGTGCGTGCGGGTGGTGGGTGCGTGCGTGCGTGCGTGTGCGTGCGTGCGTGCGTGCGTGCGTGCGTGCGTGCGTGCGTGCGTGCGTGCGTGCGTGCGTGCGTGCGTGCGTGCGTGCGTGCGTGCGTGCGTGCGTGCGTGCGTGCGTGCGTGCGTGCGTGCGTGCGTGCGTGCGTGCGTGCGTGCGTGCGTGCGTGCGTGCGTGCGTGCGTGCGTGCGTGCGTGCGTGCGTGCGTGCGTGCGTGCGTGCGTGCGTGCGTGCGTGCGTGCGTGCGTGCGTGCGTGCGTGCGTGCGTGCGTGCGTGCGTGCGTGCGTGCGTGCGTGCGTGCGTGCGTGCGTGCGTGCGTGCGTGCGTGCGTGCGTGCGTGCGTGCGTGCGTGCGTGCGTGCGTGCGTGCGTGCGTGCGTGCGTGCGTGCGTGCGTGCGTGCGTGCGTGCGTGCGTGCGTGCGTGCGTGCGTGCGTGCGTGCGTGCGTGCGTGCGTGCGTGCGTGCGTGCGTGCGTGCGTGCGTGCGTGCGTGGGTGGGTGGGTGGGTGGGTGTGTGTGTGTGTATGTGCCCATCTAAAAGCATTCACACACATATATATATATATATATACACTCATCCATTGCCTTCGGACACAAAAAGGAGCTCCACAAAACCAAAGTCAGGAACTTGTAGTTCAGGTATATATATATATACACTCATCCATTGCCTTCGGACACAAAAAGGAGCTCCACAAATCCAAAGTCAGGAACTTGTAGTTCAGGTTTGAACATAGGAAATCAAACAAATAGACAAATCCGCCGCCCGTCCCCCCCACCACATATGGCAGCAATGGCTTTCTGTAAACGACAACCAGGCAAAGACAGGGGGCCCTTACAACTTAACATAAACAACATAGACCACCCCCAAAGCATAGCTTGCAAAGCAAGTACTCAGACGTACAGCGGCTATGGCTGATAGCACTCATTCGGATCAAAAGCAGTGTAGAGCCGTGGCGACACGCTTTGCCACGATCCAGGAACCATCAAACAGAAAACAGCGTCTCAAGCAACCAATAGAACCAATGGACCAATGGAACACAACATCTATCCTAAAGCTGAGCTGCGGTGACGGGCAAGCCGCTCTAGGCCCCTACCACTGGCTGGACGACCCCCCGGACCCCCGACACTTCACGGTGAGTTGCTGGTCACCTGGCCTTGATGGAATCGGGTGGGAGAGCCTCGTCGGTCATTTGTTGCTTCTGGATGTCTAGATTTGGGCATTTGTTTCTGTTTCGTGATTTTGCTTACATGTGCGTTTATCGTTTTTTCATTTGGTTGTTTTCTAGTGACTCATGATTTGATTTATACTGCGTGTCTTCATACATGCTTTTGTCAAAGCTTGTCTGGGGGTAGCGTCGCTGTTCGGAAAGAGGTGCATGGCCACCCGGCACCAGCTTAGCCTCATGGTCACCGGCCGCCATGGCACCCCTCCCATCACAGCACCTATCGGCGGGTGCCTAGGTGAATTTCCTGCGGAGCTGTCCAGTGCCGTGTTGGGAGAGGGGCTGATCTTGTTTTGACGGTTTGCAGGGGGAAGTCAAAAAGTGGTGGCCAGCACCTCAAGGCTGTGCGATTGACCTCCGGGAAGGTGCTGTAAAAACCAATAGGGTGCTTTTTCAAGATGGTTTTGGTGCGGGTCTTGCTCCTAATTGTTTGGCCTTATATCAAGCCCCCTCCTTTCTCTTCTTGGACTCGTGGGTTGGGTCAAAACATGGTGACAGGGTCCAACAAGTGCAAGGCACTGTCCACATCTGCACTGCGGTTTTCGCTTTGCTCTCAGTGCTCCATCCACTTGCTGTTGTCCCGGGCCCCCCAAACGGAAGGACTTGGTATTGGGGCAGTCTGCGGGGCGATGAACCTGGCTTGCAGAAGAAACAAATACTGCAAAACTATACAGTAGTTGCCTTGACGTTGGAATCTACCATCACAAGGTTCTAGTTAATGATCTTACATGGGGGCATGAACAAACTCGTTCAGCGTCCGTTTGGGGAGTCCTTATGTCCGGTTTAGGGCCTACAGGACAACTCCCAGAAGTCCTATTTGGCAATGGCTGGCGGACCTAAGCCCCATGTCATTGACTAGTCCACCTAGTTATTGGGTTTGGAACCCGCAACCTGGTGTGGTGTCCTTTTGGTTTTCCCTTAAAACCATCTGGAAAGGGCACCCTCATAAACGGAGCCGCGCCCAAGCGGGCGCTGACCATCATGGCGTTCAGGTTCTTCTGGCCGCTCTCACAGGCGGACGAGGTATCTGTGGGGGAGGGGGCGCGGCGCCAGCAAGGCGGCAAGACTTGCCAGTCTCTGGAATCGAGGGGCGTGATTTTTTCTCACTCGCCCAAGCGACCTTTGACCTTTGGACCTTTTGGTTTTCTATTTTTAGTAAAGGTCCCAAAAGGTTCACCTTTTAAGTCCAGGTCCTTTGGGCAAGTAAGAGCACTACGCTTAGGCAACACCTGGGCTCTCGGACCAGTCTATCGCAATGTGGGGAATGGTCGCCTGTCCCTGGCAAAAAACCCTGGGTGATACTGAGGTGAGATTGCGACGGCCTTTGACTTTGTGCAGTTCTCTCAGCGTCCGGGATCCCGTTCAATCCTAACCATTCCTGACGTGTGCGAGCTAATGTGGAACCCAAAAAGGGGGGGGCTTAGATTGGAGATTGGAAAGACAGCATCCCCAACTGCCACACCTCAGGGCGCTGACAACAAGTGACCATGGGCCATCCGCCGGCCCCGCTGGACTCTTCCCACGTGCTCTGGAACCTGGGGACCTTTTTGAGTTGGTCTGTCCCAAATAGCATGACGGCATTTGTGTTTGCTCCCCCAAATCGAGGCAATTAGTATGTACCACATCACGGGTGGTGGTTGTTTTTGCGTTTTGATTTCAAACAACATCTGCTTAAACGTTTCTTTTTGTAAAGGACGGCAACCCAACTTGAGAGGGCTTGCATTTGCTGAAGAACGTGTCTGGTACTTTCATGCGGCGCCTATGCTGGGAGCACACTATGGTTGCCGGGCTCCAAGTGAGGTTTGGCTTAGGGCAACAGCTGTGATAGTGATGGACAAAATGCTGCACCAAGTTGAAATAGATGAAGCCGCATACTTTAATCACATAAGAACAGACGCCTTCCAACTAGTGGATAATTTTATCCACAGTCAAACCGATGGGGTCTGTCTCTCGGTGACCCGCGTCACTCTCCAGGCGGCGCGGCAGTGCGTGCTGCTGCAAAGCTCGCCGCAGCGGCCTCGATGCACACGGTTTGGACGGAGGAGAACAAAGGAAACCCACCTGAAAGGGAGGGGGGGCCTATTTTAGGAAACACCCAAATACGAGTACATGCCAGAACTAGCAACTCCCGGGAAATCACGTGAAACCAACCATTTGGCTGTGACACTCCCATCTTTGTTCGGGCAAATTCGAAAGGATTTCTATTTTCATGGCATGGATGGCGGATAGTGGTAAAACGGCCAGGGCGCAAATCAGGACCGAAGCCAACCCCAGACAAAACTTGCACAACCTCACATCAACCCCCAACTTAAGCTTGCCAACCCCAACCCTCGCAAGCTCATGCTGGCTCCTTGTGTAGTTGAGCGACAGATGCCACAATTCCCCCATGGTTTCGTCATTTTCTTTTCTGACCCCCACAGAAGAAATTGTGCCTGCTCTCACCCCGGCGTACAATGCCAAGCTCCAGACAATCCCGTGTCCCGCCTTCCCCGCAGCTCCACTGGAAGCCGATGCTGGACAAGCATCGGGGAACAAAAGCACTGCCTGCACACATCAGCGAGAACTCTTCTTTATGTGTTTCGCTGTTTTCTTTGTTTTGACTTTGCTCATTCTTAAGAAAGGGCCTGCAAAGATCAATGTTTTGTGCTAGTCTACCAGGGGTTGGGAAGCGCAAATCCATCGTGGATGGTGTTGCAGTGAAACCAGCAGAGTTCTTGGCTGACAGATGATGCATGACATCGCCGAGTGACAAAGGACATCGGTCTGTAGTCACCAAATTGCCGCTAGGAAAGGCAGTCACTGACCCATTGTCCAAAGGCATGTCCGCCATCGCGCGAGAAGCTTTTTCACATTTCTCCAGAGGCCGTTTGGTGCTCCAAGGCATCCATTGACTCTTCTTGTGTCCAAACAGGAGAATCCGTTCACTGAAGTGGTTTGTTTGGGCTGGATGAAGATTTGGGTGTGGCCAATGGGGACCGGAGCCTTCATTGAGCTGAACTGGGTGTTTTGGAGTGCATGGAGCCATTTCAGGGGCAATCATGACACCCTGGGTCCCGAACTTGGGGGAATGTTTCTTTTTGAAACACCCTCTCAGAATCCTTTTATCCGGCCTTGGCCCTGAAGTAGCTGTTGCCACCGCTAGTGGCCGCTAATGGTCGCCACTAGCCGCTAATGCCCGTGAACCCCAGCAATGTAGGACCTGGCGAAGTCCACAGCACGTGTGATCTAGCATGTGCGTAGCCCAACACACAAGGTGTGAACATCTTGACTATCTTCGGATCCGAGTCAGGTGCATGCTGAAAACTGTTCAGATCCGACCCTTTTTTGAACTTCCCCCTCCAAGCGGGAAATGAAACACATGTAGAATATTCCTTCTTCATGGTACACTTCCTTCAAGTCCAAGTCAAGGCTCGCAAGTTCTTTTTCCCGTGCTTTTTCGTGGGCCAAGTCCCAGCGAGGCCGGAAAGGATGATTCAGATCTACGTGGACTTCGAGCTTGACCCGGAGGGCGTTTGGACCATCATCGACCACACCAGGCGCGATTCCGCGCGCGATTCCGCGCGCGATTCCGCGCGTCCGATTCGTCTCCGGATGGACTTTGATCGGGTGCCCAGGACTTGGGACCTGAGATTTCAGAATTGAGGCAAAAATACACAAATGCAGGGGTAGATATGTTTGTCAAGGGGACGCCCTCAAATTGCCAGCAGGGCATTCTCCGTAAATCTTGTGTGGGCCAAGGTGAACATCATGCACGGATACTGGTACGACACATGCAGGGCGCGCAAATATCAGGGTACACAATACAGGCAAGTGTGCCAAAGCAATACTGCACGCATGCACTGAAATTCAAGAGTGTGATTTGTCTCACAGCAATACTTCTACGGAGCATTCGGCCGACAAAGAATAATACTAAGGCAACTCTAAGCCAATACTACAGAATACTTGATGACAACGGCACAATTCTATCCCCTCACATCCCCTTATCTCATCCCAGTTCTCCCCTTCAACTATTTGGACTAATCAGTTAGCCACATGACTTGTCCTGGCGTGATGCCGGGGGACAAAGAGTCAAAGTCTTCTAGGTCCATGGAAATCCCTAAGCCTGAAATCACCACTTCCTAACCAAAGAGATGATCACCTTTTCGGTGTCTTGGAACCCAGACATTGTCTTGGCTTGACACGATTCTCGCAGGTAATGACATGTGTTTGGATTGCTGGGTTCCGACCGGAAAAAACAAAAGGAACTTTAAAGGGCTGGTTCTTGCAGAACCAAGAGAGACCAGCAGAAAACGACGGAGGTCAGCTCTTGAGATGCGACGGCAGGATCGATTCCAACTCCCAGCTGGGCGGTGTGGTGGGCGTTCCGCCACAGTTTAGGATGCTTTTTCGTTGCAGGTACAATGATGTCATCCAGAAGCCATGCAACTGCCAACGCGCACGGGCGCAGGGGGTGTTCTTCTGCTCCAAAGCCATATTCTTGAATGTTGGGCGTGTTTGCTTCCCCGCTGTGTGTGGTCTTCGCACGCCAAAAGGACATGGCGCCAGCATTTTAGGGGGCGCATGGATGCGAGGACGAAGCGGCCGATCAAGACGCCCAAGCTGAACCACGGCTGGCACCTGCCGACGCCTCAGTTGGGCTCGGGGTCATGGCGGTGGGTGGAGCCACTTTCCTTTTACCCGGTTGCATGGAACCCACCAGGTCTCTTTTCGGCTTGTGGAATTCGGCGACCTAATTGTCTCATGCCCTTTAATGGAAAATCGTGATTTAAGGTTGCTCAGTCAGCTTTAGGATCATGCCCAAAGGCAATGGCAAGAATAATTCTCGAGCTCAAGTTTTTGACATGTGTTGTTCAGTCAAGGTGGGTCAGGTTGCATTGACGTTCGGTTCTACCTGATACATAGTTATGATCCGGTATTTAAGCCAGGAAGTAGAGCCTACCGAAATGTCCCTGTCGTGGGTTTGGCAAGGCTGTTGAACAAATCCGGGGGTGGTTGCAAGATGCCTTATCCAGGCGGACCACCTAAGGGAAACTCGGACCGGTTGTGTCTGAGGGACGCCCCGAAGACGGTGTTGTCCTTCGCTTCCCCAAAACTAAACCCCACAGGGGTACTCCGCTTGGAATGCTCGAAGGGACTTCGGAAGACTTAAGAGAACCCACATGGAAAACACCAAGGGAAGCCCGGAATTTCGGCCGATCACACTCTCTGCCAACACCGAAAACTGCTGCAAATGGCGGGCTGGATGCTTGGCCTGGTGCCAAAACTAGTTGGACTGTTTTGCGACAACCCAGCTGGAATAGGCAATTCGTATAGATTTTTACTTGGGCGTCTCCTTTCTTCGATTGTACCGTTCTTGCGGGTGGCTATTTGAGGGATGTCCAAGTTAAAACGCTCATTTGTGAGCGTTCGTCCCCAATTTTGAGGACCCACTTGGGTATGTGTGCGGTACACTAAAAAAGCATGCCCATACGGCTATGAATTTTAGTTAGGAACCTCAAAACGGGACATGAATCCCCCACGAACTCACTCATGTGCCCATTCGGGGGAGGACGTATTTTTCTAAGCTCGTGGCTTATAGACTCTATCCTTTTCAGAGTCTCCTTGTTGGGTCTGCTTTAAAGGGCGCTCGGAGTGGGGGGCGCGGGGTTGCCTGTAGGGTCAAGCTTTTACCATAGCCATGGTGACTAAAGCAAACCGAGCAGAGCCGGCCGTTTCAATACTCCCGGCCCAGTTCAAGATATTTTCCCTTCACAGAATGCAGGGATCTTCAGGTGCAACGGTTTGGGGGGGGGGGGAACATGCATGTGTCTGAAGCTTTCCCAACAACACTGGACTTCTTTTCGCTTTCCCTTCAACCCATCAGTGAGTCAGTGATCTATAGCTATCCAAGGATCGCAATTGGTTGTCAGTTATAGTGGCTTGCAGCGATTGATCCGCTTGGTCCCATTTGTTCATTCGTTCCTCAATTTGCCCCTACCTGGCCCAGCTACCACTATAGTAGGTAACCGGCCATGTTCCTTCTTTTTGGTACAGGGCGCGAAACCCCTCATTTACCCACCATACCTGGGGCCTCCACCACTATTTTGTATTTTTATTGACTAGTGTGCCCTGAAAGTCGGCCATAGGGAAATGGCCTCCCAAACTCCCGCCCCAGGCTGACCCTGGTGTCTTCCACCTACCGCAGCCCGGCGCAGAACTTCGACGGGACCAAGCTGTTCCTGGACGAGTGGTGCAAACTGCTGAAGAACGCCCACGCCTCGTTCGGCACGTCTCCGGGTGGCGGGGGGAGGGGTGGCAAGCCCCTTTCAAGGAGGTCAGGGTCGTCTGACTAATCAGTGTGCATGTACTCAAGACAACCAGTCTATGGTCAATGCTCCATTTTGGGAGGGACATGACCAGAAAACTCTCGAAGAGTCCCTTATGCGACTCTCCCCTGGTTGTCCCATTGCCGGCAGGGCAACAGCAAGTTTTGACCGTGGCTGGGTTTGCCTTAATGAAATATGGAACCAGAACGGCCTTTTTACTGAAGAGCAAACCACAGAGTACTCTCAAAGAAGAACATTTCTGAACCAAGGTGAATCCACTTGGGGCGAACTAAAATAAACACCCTGTGCCATTTCGTCATGCAAGGGGCTGTCCCTCAACTTGTTTTGCAGACCCAACCAGTGGTAAACCGATGCCGAGGAAGAAAAAGAACAAGATACCCCCCAGAAGACCAGACAATTGGTTCGAATGGTCTTGGTTCTTGTGCGCTGCGCCCTGTGTTGTTGAGAAGCTATACGAGGCAATTGTTGCCAAACCGAGGCCATTGGAGAAACTTGCAGGCCCCAATAACCACGTTTGGACCTCTCCCCGAACTGACCATCGACAGGACCAGGAGACTTGGGACCCGGTGGGTTCCCAACTGAAACCAGGCTGAGGGCCAGCCTCTCACGGAAACCATCGTTTAAACAACCCTCTGTTGGTTCTCTTTGGAGTGGTCGAACTCAGTCGATACCTAAGCGGTACTCATGCCTGCCAAGTCCAACCAGCTGCCCAGTAGCACGCCCTGCCTTTACACCAACTCCTCGAGTTCCTCTTCCTGATGACCAATGGTCACGTCAACGACTTATAGTGCAAGTAACTTGTAGCCACCAAAACATTGCAAACAGATGCTGAAGGGGGAACACGATGCTAACCGATACTAGGGTAGCCGCGTACAAAGGTTTCATAGGGGGCCTGTGTTTCAGCCCACCTGGGGCCCAAAAGTTGCTGTCTTGCGATATGAAGCAATCCTAAATTGAGTAGGTGACCAAGGGAACCCCCCTTGGACCGAACGGGACATCAGGGTCCGATCCCCTGGTTGATGCTTCTGGGCGCTGCTGGGGTACTGGTCATTTTTTCTGGGTCGAGCAACGAAACCGACCACCTTCTTGTAGGTCACGGTCAAAGACGAAGCCAGGTCCAAAGGCAGCATGCATTTGGACATGACAATTTCTCCATTGCGACCTCCGAAGAAAAGGGGCCAAAGCGGCCCTTCTCCGAGTCTTGGGGGAAGTAGTGGAATGTGTGCAACTCGCTCCTGTGGGATCCCACTCTTCCGGTACCCAATGTCCTTTTCAAGCGGACAAGACCCACCATGTGGAGGTGTATGACTGGTTTCCTGACTGGTTTCCCTTTCAGCTGCTGCTTCGGTGACCCCAATATTTGGACGGGTCTGGCTTCCTTTCGCGATCGAGTTTGCTGGCCAAGGTCTGGGTCGGAGCCCCAATCGATTGGGTGCCAGCGGAAAATCAGGGACCTGCTTCTTGTCGGTTCATTGGGGTTTGTCATGCGATAAAAAGAAAACATGAGTTCAACTTGGGTTCTCTTTTCAACCGGCAACAACAGCTCATTGGGAAACTGACAAGGTCCCCACGTTTCCTCTTGGAAAGACGGAGTAGCGCCAAACTGAAACCAGTGCCACCTATTTGTTTACAACAACCTGCAAGGACGCATGAAATGGTCGGCATTGTGGCAAGCTGACATTTGCTTGTGGTCTTCTATCGCTTTTCCCAATATTACACATTTTAGAGATGAATTCGGTGTTGAGGGTACCCCTCTTTGATGGTTGTAAAGGGGCAATCAAAAGGAAACCAACTGTTTTCTTCGGGCCCCATGTTGTGATTTTCAGACTTGGATGGAACGACTTCATCTCTGAGATTTTGCCGGTTGCAGTAACCAATAAGCATTGGGCCGTATCCTTGCCCCGTTCTCTTCAGGGATCCTTCTCTTTAAGCAACGCCCCAAAACCAGGGAGAAGTGGCCGGTTTCTGAAACGATGGGTGCAGAGTTCACAGCAGGCACCCCCTCGTAGGTGTATTATTCCGGAACAACTCAATCCCAATCAAATGTCTTTTGTTAGGGCCCCCCCAACACGGCTTTGATTTTCATTTTGGATGCCCCCGTAAAGAACACACCAAGAAGTACCAACTCCAAAAAAAGGCGAGCCAACATTGTCAGGCTTGGTTGGACTGCTTCAGGGGCTTGTGGGAAGCTGCCCGGAACTGGAGCCCAAGTGACGGGTGATGGCATTTTCTCAACCAGGATAGATAAGCACTTTCCAGTGTTAGCTCGCTCATATCAAGGCGTAGGCAATTCCGACTTGCAACGCACAGGTACATACTATCAGGTGACTGATGGAGCGTTCAAAGCGTTATAGTGGGAATGCCGCAAAATCGTGGCTGCTGTTGTCAAAATAGGACGCCCCAGGACGTCAACTTTTTTGAGGTTCCAGGCAGGGGAGTTCAATCGGAAGGCACGTATCAACACTACACTCTTGCATTGGGCCGTGCTTGCATAGAGTCCACAAAGAATGAGCTTTGACACGGCCAATCGACCCAGACTTCGGTTCAGGGAGTGCGAACCTTTTCTGGATGGTTTCAAAGGGAAATGAAACGGAAACCACCGTGAAAAGGGTGGGGGGAGGGAGGGTTCCCCATTTGTCAGGCAGGAAACACAGGGGCGAGTGGGGCTTCCCACTGAGATCCTGAACGATTTCTACGTCCTGGGGAACGACCTGAGCCGCGGAGGCAAGCAGGGATGGATCCATCTCAGAGGAACTCAGTCTGACAATGCCCGGCATTAGCAGGTTCATGTCCAGAATCAACTTGGCTTTCTCCCGGTTTTTTTGTGTGATCCCGACCGAGTGACTGCGGCTTCCCAGTGGAGCATTGCATTCATCTTGGGGGAACGGTGCAGGCGGTACAGTTGGGATATCAAGTGTTTCCCCTCGATTCTCAGGTTATCAGCCGTAGGGTTTATCCCACGTGCTGTGAGACGTGGGGGTATCTAGGACGGTAGGGCATGTCCCACGAATCCATATAGATCAGCCTTTTCACCCAAGGGCTACAGTGTTTGCGTGACAATGTCTGATGGCCAATCTTCGATTACATTCGCTGGGCCAGCCGCGGCTCCCGCCATTGGTGCATCGCCACGAGGAACACCGGAATCAGCCGATCATGGAAGCGGAGACACAATTGTTGTGAGTATTGGAGCCTGGGTGGCAAGCCAGGAAAGTGATGCAGGCGTAGACCAGACCATGCAAGCAAGGGTCCACTTGGGGAATTGCGAAAGCAACAATCGAGAACGGAGATGATTGAGTGAAGCTGCAGGGCAGCATGGCGAGAATCGCGGGCCGGGAGCCTGCAGCGCACTTTATAGGTGAATCATACCCGCGAGTCGCAGACTGCTCATGTCCACCCGAGGATGAAGGATGAGTATGAGCTGGCGACGGAACAGCTGAAGATGAACAACGCTGAACGAAGTTGAGGTCAGTGCATTTGCGATGAACAATGAAGCCCAACGATGCTTGGCAGAGTGCAGTGAAGTTTCGGCATCGTTGAAGCAAGCGGTCAACGTTGCAACTGAGTACAGATCTCTTGCCAGCGCAGGCAATGACGTGAGAGAACGACTAGAAGGTGAAATCGGAGGACTCAGGGAGAGACTGCATTCCGAAGAAGCAGCTGTGCAGATCAGGATGAAGGGAGTGTGGTATCCAATAAGGAAGCACAGATCCAAGCAAGGGCACAAGTGAAACATTTGTCAGGGTCGGACTCTTGGGAGGATCGGTTGAGATCCGCTGAAGTACTGGCCGAGCGTGAAGTCGATGCTGTGAGACGAAGGGTGAGGCCTGCCAAGACAAGAAGAGACTTCGTCGCTTGAAAGGAGACCGGGCTGGAGAGGTTGTTGGTCCTCGCGAGGAGGCCTCCGCATTCAGACATCAAGATGAATCAATGGGCGGCAAGGGCAAGGAAGGAAAAGGGAAGCGCCAGAAAGGTGCAAAGAAGGGTAAAGGCAAAATTTGGGGAAAGGATGTTCGAGATCGTGAAGACGTCCGTGAGGCATAACGGCCACCTGTAAGTACGGTGTACCCGGCTTTCCAACCATGACGAGCGCGGTGTATCTGGCTTGTCAAATGGCCCCCAAAACTCACCAAATGCATGATGTGGATTGCTGATGTGATATTCTCGCATGGGGCAGACATGGTGTATCGGGTCGGCTTACTAACGAGGTACATGATTTGCTTTCCGCGTCCAATTCAAACGCAGGTGCAGAAGCAAGGGGGGCAAATGGATGGCTGTCATGTGTGGATCATTCCTGATGAAGCAGACACGCGGGGGTCCCTGGGCATGCCGAAGATGCTGGAAAGGAATCAGGCCGATCGGGTCCTTCGGAGTGGAGCGGGCGAGGCGCTGATGCTGATGCGCTGCTCCACTGTTTCAATCCCAGCTGGGCAGCGCCGGTAGTCATTGCGCAGCTTGCCTGAGCCTCAATATTGCTGCATGTTTGTGACTGGTTCAGAGGTCGTCGATCTGCACGTGGTGACAGGCTCAAAAAAAGCCTCAACGCCATGGACTGGAGCAGCTTTCGCGTCAATCGCCGGATACGAACATAGGACCATCAACATCCAATGTGGAGTCGATGGATCTTTAGTGTGCCTTCGATTTCATCGTGCCGCCGATGACTGCATTGACCTGTGCAGCGTTTCCTAGAGAAAATTCCTTGTGTTTTTTTTTTTCAAACGTGCGTTTTTTGCATGGTAACATGAAAGATGAGCCGACCGTCATGACAATTTCTACCTTGCACGGATGGTTCGAAAGCGAACCACACCGTCTGGGGCGTGTTAATTGTTTGCTTAGGGCGCAACACATTCGGTAAAACTTTGGCTCAAGCTACACATTCCTTGCAGCTAGCATTCAATCTCCCTCGCTACTGACAAAGAGCAGCGGAGCTGTTCAGGAGTGCGGCTCCGATAGCAAAACAATTGTGCTTGCCGAGTGACTGCGGCTTCCCAGTGGGGCATTGCATTCATCTTGGAGGAGCCGTATAGGCGGTGCCGTTGCTATATCAAGTATTTCCTCTCGATTGTCATTTCGGTAGCCTAGGTGTCACCGAGGAAGAGGGACACAAAGGAACGCCTCAGTAGGAATTCTTTGGACTCTGAAGAGGCGCTTCTGGTATGTTTGCAAACCATCAGCAGCTCTCCGCTCCATGGAGATATAATATACGTACATATTATTGTTTCTATGTATATACATGAGCCACGTATTCCGAGGAGCACGTAGATATCTCTCTGGAACGTGACCGATGTTCAATCGCATATGAACATATCTGAGCTTCAGAGACCAAACTGGCCGTTGCCCGCCCGAGCGGTCGTTTATATCCATCTAAACAGGCTTGCGGAAAGAGCAAGGCAGGAGGAACTTCGAAAGAGACAAACATTTTGCAGCTTTTCAAGTAAGCCAGGTGTATATTCCGCCTTGTTGTTCAGTGGCGCCCCTCTTTGTTTGGCGGATTGCCCACTAAAAAGTGGTGACCCCCAACACGGATTCCCTCCTACCCGAAACACTGAACAACTTGGATATGTTTATGGACGAATAATGGCTGGAAGACCCTTGAACATGGTAGGGTGTTGCATGACAAGAGGATTCCACAGGCATTTGTCAGTTGGACTCACTAGCCAGGCCGCAAACCCTTCGGCCTCATCGCGGACTTCCGCATCTACGCGCGAAGCTTGTCGGATGATGAGGCGGGGACGGGGGCAAGGCGGTGAGGGTTCTCCGGCTCGGGGTTCCGTCAAAGTCTTCGGACAGTTCTGCCCCACTTTCGCCAGTTCTACATTCACCAGTTTCCTCGCCCTGGCATTGGGTAACCCATGCCATCTAGGTGAGCGGTACAGCAGTGCAATCGCTCAGACACTTTCCTTCTGTCTTCTGTTCACGTGTTTGCCCCTTCACAACCAAGAAGGGGCGTGGGACGCTCTACCGTGGGTGGCTGATGCACAAACGTAGTTGAAGTTTCCCGTGAAAACCATCCACCGGGTATGGTGAGCAAGAAAGTCATCTTGGCGTTCTTCGCGTCCGTTCGGAGTGGCGCTTGTTCAGCTTGCCAGGGTCGGCCGTTCAGTGGAAAGCATGCTGCATGTTCTGAACGTGCCATATGTGAGGCATACGAAGTAGAACTATGGCCGAGCCGCATTGGATACCCAACTGTCCTCAGCTTCAACCGAGTTCCTGTTCAGAGCATGTGGTGATAAGTTACTTCCATTGCTAGTAGTCTTCCAGGCCAGTTTCTCTGTCTGCTGGTCTGCCGGCCATGGCCGTTGTTCACTCTCTAACACAGGCAAAGGCAACCCCTGTTCCGGCTCTGGAGATGTCAGTGCTTGAGCGAGCTTGGTCACAGGTCTTTTGATGAGACTTTTTCCTGTGTGCTAAATACCAAATTGTTGGTTTACCCTGCATCCCGAAG